TTCTTAGTATTTCCTTCCCTCCACTATTTTATAAAAGTTATTTATTTTCTCAGAGGAAGGGATAAGAAGTAGGGAATGGTGCAAGAAGTTACAAAATACCAACAACGACTTCCTGATCAAAAGCTACTAAGGCCTGGGACTTCTCTGGTGGTCCAGTGGTTAAGAAGCTATCTTCCAATCTAGGAGATGTGGGCTCAATCCCTGGTCAGGGAACTAAGATCCCACATGCCGTGTAGCAACTAAGCCTGCACATCCCAACCAGGGAGAAGCCCACGCACTGCAATGAAGAGCCCACACTCAGCACCTAAGACCCAACACGGCCAAAAATGAATAGATACAGAAGCAAGGCAGGCCTATATTAGCTCGCATGTCTTCTTATAATCCATTTCCACCAAATTCCCATTCTTAACCCCATTTTTCTGCTGCTTTCTATAATATGTGTTTGTTGGCTTGGGAGCTGGACCCTACAGGCCTATAAGGCCTGTGCTTGCCCAGCTTCAAGGCTGAAGAGCCTGGAGTCAGCAGCAGAGAGTGTGTGACAGGCTGGGACCTGGGACCTTTGCTGCAATGTTTGCACCTGGACAAACGTCTCCTCAAACAACATAACACAAAGAAACTGCGAGGGACTAAACGTAACTGCGTGCATGCACAGTTCAGGCAAATTCTGGACAAAAATACAAAAGGACCAAAAAAACCCCAACTGCTGCTTCTGGAGAGCTGGGAGTAAAAACAGGGTTTCAGTCTCCATGGACAGAGGAGCCTGGTGGGCTACAATCTGTGGGGTCACAGAGTTGGACATGACTTAGCAAAAAAACCAAAACAACCAGGGTGTGTCGGGAAAAAAAGCAAGGTACTGTGCATGCCCCCCGCACTCAACACCAACAAAGAGGTGAGCAGAACACCTAAGCCACCCCTACGGCCTGACCTCTGGACCACGCCTACCCTCACCCCATATAAGGAACCAGCTCTCCTCACCTCTGGGAGTGAGCAAGGGAACTGTTACTTGTTTTCTCTCCCCACTACTGTGACAGGCCTCTTATCAATTTGTGTTGACTAGGGAAGGCCAAGAACCCTGGCTGGTATCAAATGGTTTAATGGATCATGGGGACTGAAGCAAGGTCCTGGAGTGACACCCCACCATGGGCAGCGGTGGGTCTATGCCAGAGTGCAGGGAGATGACCAATGACAGAGGAATTGACATCAGGTGGGCTCATTAGTTACCAGGGAATCTAGTGCAAGGGCACACCACTCACCGCCTCCTTGATACAAACAATCGCCAGCTGGGGCCCGGGGCAAGCCTGTAGGAAGGTTAGCCAGGTACGTAGGGTGCTGGTAGGGCAGGCATGGGATGTACAAACAGCAAGAGAGCAGCCGTCTTGAGTGGCCTGACCATTCAGTGGTAAACTTTACAACCTCATCCTTATGTTACAGAATATGAAGTTGAGATTTTTGACTGAACTGGAAAAGTTCATTGGACATCACCAAGAATGAGAGCAGTTGATTGGACTTTGCATCTTTCCTGTGGAGCAGAGAAGGATGTTTTTGTTTAAATGAGAGCAGCTGTGCGGTGCTGTTGTTGCTGGTGTTCTTTGGACAAACAGCTAAAGGAGTGGCTGCAAACGTGGAGCACCAAAGAGAGGGACCCTTGAGGATGGAGTGGACTGGAACTCATAAGCTTTCCTGAACCTCCTTTCAGTTTCCCTTTTTAGCGTAACTACACTTTCCAGGTTCACGGAACCTCGGGTTTTAAAGGCAAGTTAGGTTCTGCCAACTAAAGGTCCGGTGCCAATTTTTTCCCGCAGCACTGCTTTGATGTTCAGCATTTGCCTTGGAGGTGTCAACAGGATTGGTTGTAAAGGTAGTGGCAGCGTAGCCGCCAGTGTCCTTGAAGTCCAAGGCCCAAGGAAATCTGACTCCCTCCCTTCCTAGCAGAAGGGGCAGTTCTGCTGGCTATTGGTAGCATTTATTTGGAATTTTCCTGGAGACCCATCGTCAAAGAGCCTTGACCTTCTAACGATTGAGACATCTGACTTCCTATATTCAGTCCTTTTCTGCTTAAACTAATGTTTCCTGACCCTTAAAATCAAACCCTGATTGATAAACTGAAATATCCAGAATTCCGTATCTTTTACCAGATTCATGTCATTTCAGAGAAGTTTTTAAAATGTTTAGTCAAAACTTTTCCCACTCGGTGATAAACCTAGTTTAGTAAATAATTAACCTTTGGAGCTAATTATTCCCAGTTATTCTGAGTATAAAAGCATGCTACAAAATGTAGTCAAACAAGCTATTTCATCTTTTAAGGAAAAGAACTTTCTCCGAGTTTCAACACAGCTATTCTCTGATGGTTTTTAAGTGATTGGACAGGAGTGTAAAAGTATTGTGGTCTGATATTCAGAAATGTCAGGATTTTCATATTTTTTATTTTCCAAACATCAGTTTAAAAGAACATTAAAAGCATCAGTAATACAAATCTGGCCTAATGATTAACATCAGAACAATTATAAAATGTTTGGATCACATACTTTGCATCACAGTAAAGCATCAAGAGAACTAATTAATATGCCCTGCTTAATTAGTCATATAAGTGAATTCTCATTACTTTTAGAAAAGTTTTCATTTTAGCCCTTATGGAGAAGTTATATATGCCTATTTATATCTTTGTCTCCAGGTAGATATAGATATGGCTAGACATATATAACTTATGAAGAGACAAGTTATATATTCCTACCTCTATATCTATATCTACATATACCTACATATAGACATAGATACAGAGATATAAAGAATCTAGTCCAGTATGTACTTCATGCAAGTTAAATCCATAATTTCTTGATGAGCATAAAGAGACTGAAACCTCATATGCACATGCTTAATTTTCTTTATGCTACGATTTTTACCTGCCAAATATGGGTCAAATCGTCTCAAACTCAAAAGTCACAAAGGAAACCTGTAATTTTTAGTTTTATGAATACAATAGAAATTGTTTAAAAATAGCTTTTATTGAGTCACATTTGAAATGCCTGGACAAAAAGAGATTCATACCTTAAAAAGTATGAAATAGCTTCTTGATTAGTGTTATTACTTACAAAGCTGTTTGACTTATTGAAATAAATACCAGGTTCTGAATTTAGATAAATGTTTAATTCCTAATTTGCCACAATTCTTCAAATGATCTTGGGAGAGGATATTAGATTTCTTAATTCTTTGTTAAAAAGAGATTATATACCAACCTATTTCATGGTAATATTAACAAATGAAAACAGAGTTGTATTAAAAATATAAAAGCACAATTGAAATAGGTCATAGTGACTTCCAAAAATAGCATTCAATTACCAAAAAAAAAAAAAAAAGTGGGAATGGACATTTTTTCTTCTGTTATAAAATTTAATAGCAAAAATAAAGGATAGAAGGGAGAGAGGGAAGGGAAGGAAAGAGTCCTAAAAAGTGAATTTAAAAACAAAATAAAATCCATATCTCATACTTAAATCTCGGAAATAGAAATGACTGGTTGATACTGGAAGGTCAGAAATATCAGACAAGACTGAGGAGAGTTCTAGTTGAGTATTAGCTGTCTTCTCCATGCCTCTCATAATCTCTGATTTTAGGAACAGCATGGGAGAGGATGCTATAACCTGAACACCTTTCATCCAAAGGGACAAAGTGCCTTCCAATCTGTAATAACAGTTCTTGAATATAACAATTTATAAAGATAGGTTTCGTATCTTGATGCTCATCTTTTCTAGAAGCTATAGTTCCAAAATTGTACTGAGTTCAAAAGTCAACTACATCATGAAAACATTTTCACATAAAAAAATAAGTTTACAGTTGTTATGCTAGGCATCAATGAGAATATAATAAAATTAGTTTTAAGTGTAGAAATACTTAATCTATTTCCCCTTACTGCCCATTTCCAGTTTAAGATTCATGGGAGAGAAGTAACACAATTAGTTTGAAAACAGATCATCTTAAGAATTTTTCTACCATGGTAATATATAAACAAAGATCAAAAAATTTTTTCTAAATAGTTACTTAGATACTTTGTCAGGTTGTGAACAAACCATTCTCACACATAAGGAAAGCATAAGTTGAAACACCCCCATTTCATCCTTACGCCTTCTTAGACAATAATTAAAGATTGTCTAGCACATAAACAGTCTAGCCCACTTCCCACATAACATAACAGCACCCTGATGAGATGACCACAGTTAGCGCCTACTCTCCCAGGAAGAGCATCACTCTACTATAGATGCAGTCCTCTTCACTAAGTTTCTTGGGTAAGATCATTCTGAAATAGAATAATTCATTTTTAGCAAGAAAAAACAGATTTCTTTTCGAAAGAACTGTACAGCTACTCAGCTGACACAAAAGAATAATATTTATAATTAGAAATGGTAATAATCATAATACTCTATTCTTAGATGACTATCTTATGAAAAGAAAGTAACTAATGCTTGTGCAGTTTTGGAAAATATAGCTATAAATAATACATTTCTGATTTAACAATGTATTATTTATTCCAATAAGCCTGCTACCAAAAAAAAAATATTGACCCCATTTGAACACTTCAAAGGATTAAAATTTATAATTCAGTTAATAAAAATATTATCTCAGTAAAGATGATACTTTGTCTTTAAAAAAATCCAGCTCACACTTCAAAGAATCATAACATTGACTCAAATGATCAGAATCAGTTCCTTCCCTACTTTAATACAGTAGCAAAACCATTCCCTGGCATCTATTTAAAAATTTAGTACAAAAGATTGGAGTACAGGTCAGGTGTAAAATAATAAACTTTTTCATCAACACTTAAAATGTCAGGAAACTGCAAAGCAAACCAAGAGATGCTAATACTTCAGAGAAAATCTTTTCTAAGTTCTAAGTGTCAACTGTCTAGGTCTTTAAGTTTTGATGTACCTCTGATATCCCAAAATTTAAAAAAAATCAATTAGTATCAGAAACCAAAACAGTTTATAGAAGATTCGCTAGCCTCCATGACTCTAAACAGAGGGGACTGGAATCTGCTTGGCTGATGTGCTGTCATATTCTTGCATTAAATCATTAGTGGTGTGATAATGCATGGCAATATATGAATTGGCAAACCCAAAGGAGTTTACTGGCTGTAAGTTATGTGGGATGCCCTCCTGGGATGGGCTGCTGTTGTAGATACTGTAGTACGGCTCAATCCGAGTGTTGATGGGGGTGGAGCTGCTCTGCCCATAGTGTTGATGTCCAGCAGACATCTTGGGACTGACCACACTTTCCTTTGAGTGACTTGGGCCACAGGCCTGGTCCACAAATTTCTTCTGGGGCTTTGGAGACAACATGTAGGCAGAGTTCGTTTCATGATGGGAGGATTTGTTTCTGTTGACTTCGAGGTTCCCTTTGCCCATGGCACGAAGTCGGGTCTTGTGTTTGCAGCAGAAAAAACCCAGGCCGATGTACTGGAGGCACCAGAGCACTTTCCTTCTCAGCCCTGCACTGTTCCGAGAATATATAAAAGGGTTTAATCCTGACTTGAGAAATATAAGCGTAAACCCAAACAGTTCAAACTGGTAAAGGATGAAGCTCCCATTGCTGGACAGAACCACCTGCACCAAGGAAATCCCCAGCGGAAGACAGCACAGCAGGACCGACAGCACGATGACCACGCAGGTGACCACCGCCTTGGAGTCCTTGGCCGTGGACAGATTGACAGCCGACACCAGCTGCGGCCGGCTGGCCGCAGGGGCTGGCAGCTGGTTGGGACTCTTGGTGTATCCGTGGGTCTGAACGTGCTGCAGTTTGTTGTAAGTCTGGTTCCTGTACAAAGCCGGCATGGGACACTGGATGGGCTCGCCGCCTCCCTTCACGGGGGCCCCCATGAAAGGCTGTGGTCTGGAAGCATCCACGGTGATCACAGCGGGGCACTTCCTGACTTGAGCATTCTTCCGCAGTGTCTGAGCGATCATGACATAGGACACAGAGACCACCGCCACACAGAAGGTGAAGTCGACCACGTAGAGAGACAGGATGGCTTTCCCTTCTCCGGCAATCAGGCTGGACATGGGAAGGCAGAAGTGTGACTTGCTGGTTTTCAGGGTGGCCAAGGTGGCGAGGGTGAAACTGGTGGTCCAGAGGAGCAGAGTGAGCAGCAAGGTGCAGGGGAAGGAGGCCGTGCGGTTGGGCTGCTTCCCCAAGACCATGCGGAGCCGGTGCAGGGCAATCACCGCCACTGTCTTGAGGGACATGATGATGAAGCCCGAGCTGGTGAGGTGGAAGGTGAAGCAGAAAGTGTCCGGGATGCCACTGGCTGAGCTAAAGAACAACACGAAGGTGAACATGGGGGCTGTCACGCCACAAATGAAGAGGTCACAGAAGGACAGGTTCAGGATCATGAAATCAAAGTTGGTTCTGAATTTCCTGAAGGCCGGGTCGAAGAAGGACAAGAAGACAATGAAGTTGCCGTAAGAGCCCAGGCAGAAGACGACTGCGAGCAGAAAGGTACAGGTCACCAAGGTGGCCGTGTGGACGGGTTCCTGGAGACCCTCCCGGATACCGGTACTGTTCCCTCCCTGGGCGTGAGGCACGTGGAGCAGGGTGGTGTTGGGCACATCCTGAAGGTGGCCTGTTGAGTTCATCTTCAGAGACGACTCTTCCTTCTGTGGGAAGGCAGTCAGGGCCTCAACTCACAGACGAGCGACGACTGACAAAAGGGGCCCAAGGCAGAAAAGCCTGCGCACGAAAATGCACCCCCAGAAACAGAAAGGAATGAATGGAGACAGCAGAGTGATCTCGTGATCTTTTACAAAAGCACTAGGCTTTTTCAGCTCTGACCCAGCGCCCAGAAAGCATTTCTCCTCCAGAAGCCCCACACAGAAAAGACACAGGCACCTTGAAATACATTCATCCAGCTAAGTTTAGATTTAAGGACACAGGGGTTTTCAAACTAGTTTAAGCATCAGCTGGAGAGCAGGTTAAAAAAAAGAAAAGAGATACTGAGGCCTCGCCCCCTTGAGATTGTGATTAAAGGGTGAGTGTGCAGACGTTACCTTCAGAAACTCTGATACCAGACATTGGACACCAAGAATATAACTCTCCACCAAAGAGATCACAGTCTAGTTGGGGCAGATCAATCTATGTAATTACAGCCAAATGTGGCAAATCAGCTGATGGCAGTGCAGTGTGGAGAGAAGAGAAGGGGGGATTGATCCAGGCCAGGGAGGAGGCTGAGAGAGGCTAAGGGGGTCTTCATGAGGAGGGGCTAGGTGGGTGAAAGGTGAGGGGTATGGAGTGGGGGACAGACAGGCTGGGAGAAGGGAGCAGGTCTTCGCAGCAGAAGCACTGAGGCAAGAAACAGCATGTGTCTGACATATAAGCAAAAGTGAGTCACTCAGTCATGTCCGACTCTGTGCTTTAGCCATGGACTATAGCCTTCCAGGCTCCTCTGTTCATGGAATTCTCCAGGCAAGAATACTGGAGTGGGTTGCCATTCCTTTCTCCAGGGGATCTTCCCAACCCAGAGATTGAGCCCAGGTCTCCCGTACTGCAGGCAGATTCTTTATTGACTGAGCTACAAGGGAAGCCCATAAGCAAGAGGGTACCACTGAAGTATACTGTGGCCTTTTACATAACTTCCACATATCACTAACAAATCCGATTTCTTTCTCTAGGAAGAACCCTTTATTTTCCATTATTTATATATTCCCCCTGCTTGTGATTTCTTGGCCAACTCCATATTCTCCTCTGGAAAAGACCTTTGTGTAGGACTATATAAATGGAAGTAACGAACGATGTCAGAATTCTATTTGAGATTTACCAGTTTGCTCTGTAAAGTTTATATAAATGTGAGTTATCATGATCCCAGCGGGAATATCCTCATGATGAAGCAGGATGCATGCATTCACCCAGTTTTTCATCTACGTGTGCGTACTCTCTGCCAGTTTTACACCAGGTACTCTGGGTGCATAGATGAGCACGACACAGCATCTACTTTTAAAGCATAACTTATTTTTCTTTTTGGTCTTTTAACTTTCTCTTCCCATCTTGCAATGAGATTTAAAATACCTTCACATAGTCTTTTGTTGTTCAAAATTGCAAAGCCCCATTGGCCTGGTGTCACCCTATTCCAAAAGATGCTTCCAGTGGTACAGCCAAAGCTCTTGGCAACCAAAAAGAATGTGCTTTAATCCAGCATTTTAAGAATAACCAGTGGTACTGGGCAGGTCCATGGGTGATGTTCAGAATATTTAACCACCAGCTCAAGCTGAGTCCCAGGGCCTCCAGTGAAGCCAGGGGTAAATCCTTTAGTTGCTGAATTATGGGGTATAGAGGAAGGGGCCTGATCAGTGAGGGATTACTGGGAGCTTCAAGCAGGAGTTAGGAACCACCCAATACAGAAGTCTCCAAGCATTCAGTAATAGGTATATTTGTGCCAGTATCAGACACATTTCAGTTCTGGGGAGATCCATAAAACCAACTGGTGTCCTTCATGAAGGAAGAAGATAACCTCTTGTATATTCTCAATGGTCAAAAAGTACAGATCATGAAAATATCATGTATTTCTCCACTGGGAAGTGGGACCAACTTTTCTGTACTTCCCTTGTAAGAGTTCTACAGGAGAGAAGAACTAGTCCTGATCTTTAGTTTCCTGATGATTAGAATTAAAAAATAATAATAATGGACAGCTTATTGTTTTCACTTACAGACTGTGTGCCTGTGTTCTGAACACTTTATGATACCTGTGTAGTGAAAGGAAAAAAACATTTACTGTTAAGTTTTTGTTAATGGGAAGATTCGTGTTAACCAATGAAAAAGGAAGTAGAAGAGAAAATAAAATTTGTAGAAGCAGAAAGGTGATACTCCTGTTTACAGAAAATCCCCCTGACTCTGAAGAGGGAAGCAGGAATTTGGTTTGGGAAAATTAGAAGGATGAAGTCTGGAATTCGGATGCTAAGAGAAATATAAAGTGAGTAATAATAAAGAACGGGGTGGGCTTCCCTGGTGGCTCAGTGGTAAAGACTCTGCCTGTCAATGTTGAAGACACGGGTTCGATCCCTGGTCCAAGAAGATCCCACATGTCTCGGAACAACTAAGCCTGTGTGCCCCAACTATTGAGCCTGTGTTCCAGAGGCTGGAAGCCACAACTATTGAGGTCATCTGCTGCAACTACTGAAGCCTGTGCGCTCTAGAGCCCCTGCTCCACAAGAGAAGCCATCATAATGAGAAGCCCATGCACCTCAACTAGAGAGTAACCCCTGTTCTCTCTAGACAAAACCCATGCAGCAACAAAGAGCCAGCACAGCCAAAAATAAATAAATAAATGAAAATTATTAAAAAAAAAAAAAGAAGTGGTTGATGGAAGTTATGAAGAGTCCAGGCTGGGGAACCTTTGGAAAGGGGAAAATAGAATGATGAAGCATCAACATTAGCCAAAGATAAGAGGCAGAAGGAAAAAAATTTTTTGGAGAAGTTGAGGGGCCACTTTTACTTTCTCTCCAATTATAATTTTTTCAATAGATTGATAAAAGAATTCTGAGTCAGGAATTCTGGGGCAGTATCATCATTAGTATGTTCCCTTTACTAAGTGCTTGTGATGTGCCAGGCACTGATCCTAGTGCTCCACACTATTAACTTATCAAGTCGTCACAATCCTAAGACAGACAGTATAATTTATCTCTATTTTACAGATGAGGAAACTGAGGCAGAGACAGCACCTATCTTAAAGGGGCAGAGCATGGATTTGAACCTAAGCAGTTACTCTCTAAAGGCTGCACACCACCAAGCTAAACAAAAAAGCAAAGCAATCAAGGCAGGGAGTCCCAGGTCAGAAGACAGTTACAGCAGCTATAATGTATTGGGTGGTTATTATATGCCTGACCTCTACTAGAAGCTTTACATAGGTTATCAAACTTTATTTCATTCTCATTATAATCCTATGAAGTAGGTATTGCAATTCCTTCCCAACTCAAAGTTCCATGTACATATATCTGTACATATGTTTGCATGTACCTTTTTGGCGAGGTTGAAAAATTATGGCTTGGTATAAGATAATTATAAATCATTCTGATTTGGGATAATTAGAAAAAAAGGAAGGAATCAGAGACAGGGAAGAGAAAAGAGAGAAAAAGAAGAAGACATATCAGAAGTAAAGGTTTGGCAGAGAAACTTTTGAAGTAATAAGGAAGTGAAGGGAAAGTAAGCCTAGGTCTTAGTACTAACTTTTGAGACTTTAAGAAAAAGCAGGCTGAGATAACAATTTGGGACAAAGCTATGCTGGCAGAATTATAAAACTCAGTTATTTGGGGTGGGGTGTAAATGAATGCATCTGCTACTTATTCCTAAATATTAAATAGAGGTTACCAACATTCTTTTCAATGCAAACATAAGAGCTACTGTTTATCTCTGGGAGCATAAATAGGGCCTAGAAGAAGATGCAATAAAAACAATAAAATCAGAAAAATTTTAAGTTGGAACACCAGTCTTAAGAAGAAGGCATATTAGACATAATAAGAAGGAATGAAATCATATCATATGCATCTTATTACAACTAAGGAGAGACCCTCAAGTAACTAGAAAGCGAGGAATAGTAAGTGAAAATGTACATCAATGATTTCTCCTTATGATATGTGTGAAGAGCCTCTGATAATTTAGTGTGCTATCTTAATATTTTAGTAATATTCAAACATTTTACATGATCTTCTACAAGTCAACTCATGATCTGGTTTCTTCCAACACTTCCCCCCTCCCAGCACCCCCATAATGCCTTCAATTCCTCCAGGGCAGGCATTTTCAGAGTCTAACCCTCACAAGAGAACAAGGTTTTGTTCTAGGGTTATTACTCTCACTGGATTTGTATTGAGATATCTGGAAAACGTCAGGGAAGTCAGATGACTTGTCCAAGGTCACTAAGATTCAAGCCAGACTTATCTGCATTTCAGAGGCCATGCTCTTTCTCCCCACTTTTGAAGCCCGGAGCGGCTGATGCGGTCGGGTGGGGTCGGTGGATGAGGGAGAGGGGAGGCTGTGGAGCACCCTCCTGAGGATGGGGCTGGACTAGGAGACTGCAGGGAGGGCATGGCGACCCCGATCGGGAACTTGAGAAGGGTAGGGGCTGCGGGGCTGGAGAAGGTTATGGTGAGGAGGGCCTAGGCCGGTCTGGGGAAGCATGTAAAGGATTCTGGAAAGGGTCGGTGAGATGAGGAGGGTTCAGCCAGGGAATGGGCGCTAGGGGAGGGGTTCCACCGGCCCCGCGGGGCCCGGGGACGCGCAAGGCAGGAGCGAGATGGTTTCTCCGCAGGCCTCGCCAGGAGCGCAGGTGCGCGGCGGCCGGGCCCGGACGCACGCGGCTGCCGGCTCCCTCACCCGGCGGCCCTCCCGGTCCCCGCGGGGTCTTCCTCCTCCGGGGTCCCGCGGCCTCTCACCTGCCTGGTGGCCTCAGCGCCGCCCCTCCTCCTCCATCTCGGAGCCCGGACCCCAGCTTCGCCCGCCGCCCCGGGGGATGCCGAGCCGGAGGCATCATGGCCATCGCCGCCGCCTCCGCGCATCCCGGGTGCCGCGGCGAGCCGGGGCGCGGAGGCGCAGTCACGGAGACGCCGAGGGCGCCGCCCCCTCCGCTGGACACTCGGGCTCTGTGCCCCGCCTGCCCCCGCGCCCCGGCCGCCTCGCGGGCCTCGTGGTGTACCCGGGCCGGCAGCTCCCGCCGCCGCGACCTCCGTCCCCCGCGCCGCGCGGTCTCAGGCGCGCCGTTTTGCCGCTCGGGAAGTGGGGGCTCCCTGAGGCTGGCAAGAGTTGACACATGGAGGAAGAGGGGGGAGGACTGCGTGGAGAGGAGGGCAAAGGTAGGGGCGCCGATAGCACACAGCGTGATCCATGGGGGCCTTGGAGAGTGGAGACCGCGGACAAGGCGGGTGGTGGCTCACGTCGGTCTAAGCGGGGTCCAGGGCCTTCCCTGGGCTTCTGGCCCGCCCGCCGCCGCCCACCTCTCCCCATTCCTGGTGCTTCCAAGTGCGCCTGCCCAGCTCCTCTCTACGCTGCAGCTAGCAACTTTGCTCCCAGATTAAACTGGCGTCGCCTTCCATGGTGGTACCTGGAGACCCAGAATTTGTAAATCACATCATTGTAACAGACTTCAAATCAAACCAACTTTAACGTCGTTTTTTCTTTCCTTCTCTCAGCTCAGAGAGAAGTTATCTATTAGGAAACAAATGCAAATAGCAAAGAAACTCCCCATGCAAATGGGTAGGAAATGGGCAAAAGCCAAGAAATCACGGACATCACTCAATGCCATGTTGAATGTCAAACATCTTGAAAAGCCATGTATGCAAAACTAGCTAAGCTAGTTTTAGTAAGAAAGAACAGGAACCAAAAAAGTAACCACCCTCCATCCTACAGTCCACAGTGTGTCCAAAATAATGAACTCATTATGTGGGTTGTAGTCTCAAGAGCAATCAAGTAGCATTCCCAAGCATGTTTGCTACTCAGAGACAAAAGAGGGTTAAGCCCTTTTTCTGCTTCATTGTCCCAGCCTGCTAACTAGAATCTTGAAAATTCCATTCAAGTAAAGTACTTAGGATATTGCCATTGAAACTCTTTATTTTGGCTAATGGTTATCTTTTAAAACAGAAGTGTTTGGTACCAACAAGTACCAAAGAATTTGATTTATGCATATAACATATGTTCCCCAAGTCACCACCCCCCACTCTGCTTTCATCAAAAGAAAAATCAAGAGGGCTGGATAATTTAGGTGGTAGATATTCTGTCCAGGAGTTGACTGTGCTATCAGAATTTACAAATAACTTCAAGGAAAATTTCCAACTCCCACAATAGTCTACTCCCCTACCACTTGCAGAATTTCTAATTTATGTTGTAATGGTGACCTCAGAGGCTAGAAATAATAAACCAAAGAACGCTGTTTAGTATTTAGAGTGGAAATGCCATTCGAAGTGGAAACTAACCAAATGTCACACTCCTCTCCATATAAATTAGCTATTGCATAATTTCCAGCTCGTTTCCAGGCATGTGGCCATATGACAGAAGGATATTACAATAGGTCTTGGCTAGAATGCCACGAATTACACCTATGGGAAAAATTACCTCATACTGGACACACACACAAAGTCACAAGTTGTAAAGGATCAGGCGATCTAGAAGAGAGTATCTGGAATCACCAGTTCCAAAACTAGTATCAACAAAACTAAAGCTACTATAATTAGGTCTACAGAATGTACCAGCAGTGTGTCAGATTGGAAAGAACACTGGCTTCACAGTCAGAAAGTGGAAAATCTACAAATAAACAAGCAGGGCTGACTAAAAATATGTTAAGATAGGAACAGACTATCAGTTTGCAGGGAAACTACCGCTCTGGTACACATTGACAATGGAAACTGACGTGCACTTTGAGGAAAGAACATCAGAGCCATAAAAATGTTTAAATTCATGACCCACAAATCTCATTCCTTGGAATTTATCCTAAGGAAATACTTGAATATAAGGTAAGGTTTTAAGCATGAAGGTATGAAAATATTCACTGTGGTGTGATCTGCAGCAAAGAAAGCTGAAAACCTTGATGTTCAACTATGGTGGAATACTCCAGTTACAGTAACAGGACAGGTGGCCTTTGGCCACAAAAACAACTATGAAGACTACAGAAAGTTAATTTTTCCAGTAAGACAAAATACCTCACTGGTCTTTTCTGGCCACATTACTAATTGTTCACAGGAAGAGAAGTAGGTAGGTTTTCCTCCCAAATTTTGAAACACAACTTGCAAAGTCTTTCTTTTTTAAAGGATGCACTTGGAAACTAAAGATGATTTATTGGCTCTTAGAACAGTAAGAATACAGGCTTTCTCTTCCCCTTACTTCTCCCTGCCACTCACCCCCACCCCAAACCTGCCTTAACTAAATCTTCCAGGCCCAATCAGCAGTGAGTTCCAAACTTTGGTCTGCCTTCACACACCTTCCCCCAAGGCCTTAACACTGGCCTCCCCTTAAAATGGTTCCTGCTGTCTTTCTCTATTCTTTTGAATGCAGCATATTTAGACAACAGTTACCATTCATCCCTTTTCTCCCCCTCCTCCTTTTCATTCCTGAGGTCACTGACAGAACGTTTAGGAGTTAAGTAATTCACAATATAAGCAGTTGGGGTATCAAAATAATAAGCAACTGCTAAACCTGGTATTAGAATCACACGGGGCATTTTAAAAACTCTTTAAGGTACCTTGATTTTAGGTCTCGAATGGGCCTTCGGTGTCTTTACCAGGGGTTCTTAATCATCACACAACTGAAGCACTGACAGAAGTTTATATTTTTAAAAATGCCCCACTTTAGGAACCTCACCTAAATACAGCTTAGCTAGGACAAAACTGAAGTGGTCAATATAACATAAAGCCTTACTGCTCAAACTATGATCTCGGGACCAGGTATCAATATCATGAGCTGGGAGTATGAACTGAAATTCACATTCCAGGCCCATCAATCTGAGAATCAATCACCCAGATAAATGTCAAACTTTCCATGCTGACAAAAAACACTCACGTGCCTAATGAACAGGGTAACCACTAGCCACAAGTGGCTAATGAACATGTGAAATGTGGCTATTGAGACTGAGTAATTTTTAATTTAATTTCAATGTAAACAGTCACATGTGGCTACAAGCTACTGTAACTGGGCAGGTGTGATCTAGATGATTCACTCTGGTGAGAGGGCATGAATTTATGGATCCAGATCTATGAATGCAAAAGGAATCCACAAGTCCCTGGCTCCAGAACTGTCTTCTCCTTGTAATGAAGACCAAAAACCAGGTGTTAAAAACAATCCATTTATTGGGTTTTAAACTAGTTACACAATTGAAATAATCAGGTTGGCACTACTCTATACAGGGGTTACGCCTGTGTATGCTGATGCTTAAATACTGTACCAAGACCTCTGCTGTGCTTAGGTCTGTATCAAGTCATTCAGCAAGTGGGTACTAAAAAATATACCGTAGTGTTCCTTTAAGGAAGACTGTACAGGGTGTGTTGCAAGATGACATTCACCACCTTGTGAAGTACTTCAACCTAGAAGATACCTTGCATTCTATAAACTGGTCACAGGCAAACACGTGGTGTTCGCATTTAGAGATACACACAAAAAGTTACATAAAAATTCAGACATTCTAAGGATAAATGAACTCAAACCCACACCTCAGCTTTTGGAGCATGAAAAGATAAAGAAAATAATTTAAAAACACACAAAAAATGGCATTCAATTGGTACAAAAGCCAACAGTCACTATAATAAAGAGCTACATGTGAATCTTTACAAGTTAATTACACAATGGTGTTTTTTAAGAGGTTGCATCTGTACAAAGTCTTGCCAATGCTGTCTCTACAGTTTATACAGTCTTTTACATCTATGTAACATTTATTAAACAAGTCAATTAAATATTAAGACTTATTAGTCTCTCAACGATTCTGCAGGCAAAAAAAAGGGCAGGGGGAGGGAGAAAAAAGATTACAGAATTTCCGCAAACACAGCAGTCTTCCATTAGTAAAGTATAACAGTTTTCAAAGAGGATCAAACAATATTTGTAAAGAATACAGGTAAAAATCATTCAGTCAGGGTTTTTATTGTTGTTGCTGTTTATTTTCAAAATCACACATTGTATACGTACATAACAATCAATCAAAAATTTATTCACCGAACCCTTGGTTTTTCAGCAACTGCTCTTCTATTCAGCACCAAAAACTCCAGTCTGTGGGAAACACGTGGACACAGACTTCACTTCTGTGCCTTGGTCAAGCAATCCATCAGATACTTGGCTGGGTTCGAGACTTGCCCTCTTTTCTTTCACTCTTCATGGCTCTCCAAGCCTAAGGTTCTCAATGCTTCAGATTTATGGCCCACAGCCCTACCACCATCTAAACTCAACAGCCATTTGGAAAGAATTCAAAGTAATTTGAGATGAATGGAATGACAGGACCTGTGTTACAGATAGGCATTCTCCATTTCAAGTAAACGGTTTCATAATGAGTTCCTAGACTCTGTCTGGTCTTGGATGTCATGATCATACTGGGTAATTATTTCTAGTCTGAGACACTGTGGCTTTGTCAGATGCTTCAAAGAAAAAGTGATCAATATACTGGAAATACTTCCGGACAAGTTAGGAAAATGGCAGCTGAGAACCTGTGGAACTCGGACTAATTAGACCAAACACAGAAACCACCAAAATGATGAGAACTCAACAGAGGCAGAGTTTTTAAACCTGCAGAAAGCCACCACAGATGGTACCTGAGGATCTGGAATTTTTGATGAAAAGAGCTTGAAGTGAGGACTACTCATCTGTATCAAGGAGGAAAAAGGTGGGGGGGGGGGGGAAGCTTCAGTTAGACAACAGGACAGCCAACTCAAAGAACCAAATAAATGAAATCTTTTTTCATCCTATTTCATTAGAAAGGCTTCTGAGCCCTCCCTCTTTAATACAGAATGGATAACAAATACTTAAGAACCAAGATGAAATATTTTCACAACTGTAGAGCCCAGAATCCCTAGGACAACCCAAAATGGCCAGGCCCCACTCAGGGGCAATTATGAGTAAGAGCTCTTTTCTTTTATTTAACCATAAGTCCGTAAAAGCTGTCACATCAATTCTCTGCTTAATATCTAAAGCAGAGGAAAAAAAAGTATAAAATTCTCTGGGAACTTCCACTGGGTCACAGCAAAGGTCATGAAAACAGACTTCTGTATACTTTGCTGCCTCACCTTTCTATGCATAGTAGCAGGGTGAGACGAGGAGATCGGTGAGAACCAGCAGCTGGTCGTCAGTGAATTGCTGTTTGTGTTCCTGCCAGTTGTCATGGTGTGTCCTTCGGAAATTGGATAATGTCTTTTTTACAGTCATCTGTAGGATAAGCAACCCACGTACATTTTACTTTAACTCCTCCAGGGTTATGTCTAGGATACCTTTAAGTAACAATCCTTCGGGACTTCATATCTTACACTTCACCAAGCACTACACAACCAATAAACCAATCTTACCTCAAAAAGCTACCAAGCTTACTTCTTTAGAATTGGTACCGGCTTCATGTTAGGACAAATGACTAGAACTCACACCACACTGTTAAATCAGTTTCAATATATACTAAATATACACTTTGTCAAAGTGAAAAGAACAAAGTCATTGGTATTCCAAATTGTTAAATGTAGGAACACAGGTGTTCAGTAAATAATACCATCACATTTTCCTGTTTAACATTAGCCTTTGGTTAGATACTTCCTAGGTATAAAATGTGAGTGAAACAGAAGTATAAAATTTAAATATCCTGACAACACTGGCAATACACTTTGCTTCCACTGGACTGGGAAGGACAGAAGACATGGTAATTTTCTTGCTAACAAAAGATCTCTCAAATATAGAAAACAGTGGGGTCTCTGCAAGACTTTAATAACTACTGATGAGCAGACTTGGCTCTGGCAGAGGCAGTAGTAGTAACCTTATCGAAGACGACAGCCCAGAGTATATAGAAAATTATTAGTCTAAATGGTTTCTTAGAAAATTATCGCTGTTAATATATGTGCAAAGAAACCAACAAGGGAGAATTTTACCTCGATTGGCTGAGGGTCATTCAGGTGTGCACTGAGATTCATAAGGAGCTGGGGCATCCAGGTGGGAACATCGTAAGGACTAGAAAGAACACACGCACCCAGTCCCAGCACCCCAGCATGGCGTTTGACCAACTCTGCAAAGAAAACAGCATTTATATGAGCAGGGATTTACAGGACTCTATTGTACTTGCTATAGTGAGATAAAATTAGTTTTCGACCATGCAAGTTGTTTCCAATGTATGAATTTCTGCCTTTAAATGACTCTGTATGCACACGTATCAAAAACATGCTGTTAAGCCTAAACTAAAACATCCTGCATCCTATATTTTATAGGCTCTCTATTCTTTCTTTTTAGTGATACAAGTTAAAGTGCTTTCAAATTCTCAGTACAGACCTAAAAATACTTTGGTACTTAATTATTAAAAACAAAGTATTCAACTTAAAAAAAATTAGAATTTATTGTATGCTGGTATTTTATTTGGACAGATGAGCCTGGTGGACTACAGTCCGTGGGGTCACCAAGAGTCAGACACAACTGAGCGACTAACACTTTCACTGTTATTTTATTGGAAATTTCTATTAGGTAACTATATGACATAATTAAAACCCTGCTAGACAAAGAGAACAGGCTTGTATTTTGGGGGAGAGGGGAGAAGATTAGAATTTGGGATTAGCAAAGGGAAACTACTGAACATAGGATAGATAAACAATAGGGTCCCCCTGTACAGTGCAGGGAACTATATTCAATATCCAATCACAAAACATAATGAAAAAGAATATGAAGAAAAAATATATATATAACTGAGTGATGGAATTCCAGTTGAGCTATTTCAAATCCTAAAAGAGGATGCTGTGAAAGTACTGCACTCAATACCAGCAAATTTGGAAAACTCAGCAGTGGCCATAGGACTGGAAAAAGTCCATTTTCATTACAATCCCAAAGAAAGGCAATGCCAAAGAATGCTCAAACTACCGCACAATTGCACTCATCTTACATGCTAGTAAAGTAATGCTCGAAATTCTCCAAGCCAGGCTTCAGCAATACATGAACCATGAACTTCCAGATGTTCAAGCTGGTTTTAGAAAAGGCAGAGGCACCAGAGATCAAATTGCCAACATCCGATGGATCATCGAAAAAGCAAGAGAGTTCCAGGAAACCATCTATTTCTGCTTTATTGACTATGCCAAAGCCTTTGACTGCTTTGGCAGTCAATATTTTTGCGTGGATCACAATAAACTGTGGAAAATTCTGAAAGAGATGGGAATACCAGACCACCTGACCCACCTCTTGAGAAACCTGTATGCAGGTCAGGAAGCAACAGTTAGAACTGGACATGGAACAACAGACTGGTTCCAAATAGGAAAAGGAGTACATCAAGGCTGTATATTGTCACCCTGCTTATTTAACTTATATGCAGAGTACATCATGAGACACGCTGGGTTGGATGAAGCATAAGCTGGAATCAAGACTGCCAGTAGAAATATCAATAACCTCAGATATGCAGATGGCACCACCCTTATGGCAGAAAGGAAAGAACTAAAGAGCCTCTTGATGAAAGTGAAAGAGGAGAGTGAAAAAGTTAAAGCTCAACATTCAGAAAGTGAAAATCATGGCATCCAGTCCCATCACTTCATGGCAAATAGATGGGCAAACAGTGGAAACAGTGGCTGACTTTATTTTTTTGGGCTCCAAAATCACTGCAGGTGGTGACTGCAGCCATGAAATTAAAAGACACTTACTCCTTGGAAGGAAAGTTATGACCAACCTAGAGAGCATTTTAAAAAGCAGAGACATTACTTTGCCAACAAAGGTCCGTCTTGTCAAGGCTATGGTTTTTCCAATAGTCATGTATGGATGTGAGACCTGGACTATAAAGAAAGCTGAGCGCTGAAGAATTGATGCTTTTGAACTGTGGTGTTGGAGAAGACTCTTGAGAGTCCCTTGGACTGCAAGGAGATCCAACCAGTCCATCCAAAAGGAAATCAGTCCTGAGAGTTCATTGGAAGGACTGATGTTGAAGCAGAAACTCCAATACTTTGGCCACCTGATGCAAAGAGCTGACTCATTTGAAAAGACCCTGATGCTGGAAAAGACTGAAGGCAGGAGGAAAAGGGAACAACAGAGGATGAGATGGTTGGATGGCATCACTGACTCAATGGATATGGGTTTGAGTGGACTCCAGGAGTTGGTGATGGACAGGGAGACCTGGTGTGCTATAGTCCATGGGGTCACAAAGAGTCGGACACGACCGAGTGATTGAACTGAACTAAGTTACTTTGCTGTATGGAAGAAATTAACACAACATTCTAAATTAACTGTACTTCAATAACACAGATAAGATGCTTTTTTGCTATGACATTTAAATTTCTCTTTAAACATGACACAATCATCAGATCTCACTGTGTGGTTTACCTTGATGCTCAGAGTGCAAGCTCATACAGAATGAGTCTTCTCACCCTCTCACCAAATTCCGAGTGAAGTAATGATATTCCCCTCTCCAAATGAAAGCAAGAATTGTTTTGTCTACTTAGTTTCTTCTCTCAGTGTGTGTATGGTATGTGTGCTAAGTTGCTTCCATCATGTCCAACTCTTTGAGACCTTATGGACTATAGCCCCCCAGGCTCCTCTGTCCATGGGACTCCTCAGACAAGAATAATGGAGTGGGTTGCCATGCCCTCCTCCGGAGATCTTCCTGACCCAGGAATTGAACCCGTGTCTCTTATGTCTCCTTCACTGGCAGATGGGTTCTTTACCACGAGCACCACACATAAGTTGTAAATTCTAAAAACAAATATTTTAGAGCCTCAAAAATAACTAATTCTGGATACCTCTCTTTATAAAGCAATTTCAGGTGAGTGGGTACAGACTTGATTTACTCTAACAGCTGTATGCAGCAGTGTACACATTCCTTGGTACCTCTCTCAATTTTATATCCCAGGTCTTGCCTTCTGTATATGCAAAGTTTCTCAAAAGCAGCTATTCCTGGTACCTAGCATAGTCCTACACACATACACGCATTCAATAAATATTTGTTGAGCAAGCCTGGTTAATTCCCAAAAGGTGTCTTCTACCAGTATTGTTACCTGCAGAAGGAATCGTATCTCCTACAAAACCAGGGTCACGCTTCCTTTTCTTCGGTAGTTTTGTTTTGCAAAGTTGCTCAAAATGAATCTGCATAGGACTGTCCATGGTAAGGAAGTTACACTGTAACAGACCACTTAAGGTGGTGGCAGCCATTTCTCTAACCTGTAGAGATAATCACTTCCATTAGACTTGAGATCCTAAGCCTGGGGAGGTGGAGAGGGTGGTATGGGAACTGGGGTGGGGACTTTCCCTGATATTTGTATTCAAACTGTGTAAATGCTCTTTTGCAGTTTCTTAATGGAGAATCCATCAGGCTCTTAAAGGGTCCTGGCCTCAAAACAGATGAGTCACTAACACTAGGCTTAGAGAAAGTAAATGCTTACCCATGCTATAAAAAATTAATTCTCCTTACATTATTTTCCCACTGACTGATAGTTTCTCTTATCTGGAGTTTAACTGTAAAAGCAGAGCCAGAGCCCAACATTAAAATAAAACTTTCCTAGACTCTACATCCCTTAAAACAATTGCTGTTGTTATTTTCATTGGTAATAAAGACACAGGATGATTTCTATAATTGGCATACACAGTAGAGATTTTTAATTCTTACAAATTTCATAGGCTGTTTTAAGACAATAAATACAGTCTATAGAAATACTAATAGTTTATTTCAAATTGAAATGGGAACTTAAGTTTTGGGAAGACAAAAAAAAGCTGTAAAAAGTTATACACATAGCAATAGTTTCTCCTAAACAGTCATTAGGAAAGGCAGTAATAATTTGAAAAAATGCTTTGCCACTTATTCCTTCAAAATATTTTTTCTTAAATTTTTCAGTGTGACAGTTTGGGGGTACTTAACATATTCTTTGCTATTTTCATTATAATATGAAATAATTATAAAATTTTTTATTACTTCATACTTGGTTGCATACAGTAACAGCTAAGTCTACTACATGGAATAAAATACAAAAATAATCTTTAAAAGTGTTCTAAAGCAAGATCCAGAAAACAGTTCAGTTTGCTATAATATCTAAAGGTAGGAAACACTGTCCTTGGAGATTTCTACCTTTCCATTTCTATTCTTTAATGGAAAAAAAAAACCCTCTAAAAAAATTTACAGAGAGCTCCAAATATTTTAACTGGAGCTTGTCAGAATCACGGCTACGGTGTGAGTACTTGGTAACTAGACACATCTGCTCCAAAGGACACAAGAAAGCTGGAATGCAAAATGAATAGGTTTCCAGTCCCAGTTTCCTATAGATACAAATGTATTTTCAGTGCTCTCAAATAAAATATATACAATCACTGGGAGTGTTCCACTACATGGAAAACCCATAAAGTCCACAAAATAAACAAAAATTTCACAAAATTTTCAATCACATTTTTTTAACCTAAGGCCAATTTAAAAAGTTACATCTTATTCCATAATTATCACATCATGCTTTTCTTGCATTAGGCTGATGTGAACTAACATGGTCTTTTTGTACAAATATTAATGTTTCCTTAGCAAAAGCTGACTTCAATTCCTCTATCAAGGAAAATAAACAGGGATAACAATCTTATCTTAAATCTACTGGATAACAGCACCTATGTGTAGATTTTCATTCTCTTGAAACTGCTCTCATACACATTCCTATTAGCCCTTTAAAAAATCAGTAAAATAAGTAGAGTGTTATCATTTGCAATTTCATAGATAAGAAGACTTTGCTTCATAAATGTTATCTGCCCAACTGCAAAGAGAAGCCAGAACAAGAATGTGTCCAATGTTTGCTTACATCTGGGGTATCAAAACTAATTACATAGGGTTATGTTAAAATGAGTTACTTTACATATTAGTGTGTAAATTACTCCTTTAGAGGCGCCAAAATTCTTTCTTTAAATTTATTAAAATTGCAGTTTACTATAACTTAAATTTTACCTCTAGCTGTTCATCCTCCAAAAGACTTATAACCAGCCACCTGATGTCTTTAACGGCATCTTCATTGTTTAGGAAAATAAAGAGGTTATAGAATACCATGGTCTGGAGGTAGGTCAGTACTGTGTATCTAGCATGCCAAGAACTGCTTCTTGCTGTCTGTGAATGAGAAATTAGTAGAAATGACGAGAACATGAGATGACAGTGGCATTCTACACAAATGACAGAAATTCCCAATGCAACTCTACTTTTACAGGTACAGCCAGAGCAGGCTTATCTTATATTTCTTTCTAAAGAAAATGGCATGCAAGCTGCTTCAGGTAAAGTTATGAATTCTGAATGTATGAATGAGAGTAAAAGGAAAGGAACACATGATTAAAAGTCAATTTTAGAAGAGTTATTTATAATTAATGACTTAACTCCTCCAAGGGTTGCATGTTATTGTATTTGACTTTTGATAGTAGGTAGGGTAGTTAAAGCAAACAAACGGAAAACTACTATAGTCTACTGCATAAAAAGTACCATTTGAGGCTGTTACAAAATATCTTTCAGTGGTAATCAAACTTAAAAATCTGAAAACTCAGACAAAGTGTCCATTTTGTATATTATATAACACACATATAGCTGGATAAGGCTGAGCATAGAGAACACTAAAAATGCAGCTTCCACGGTGGCCCAGTGGTTAAGACTCTGAGCTCCTACTGCTGGGGGTGCGGGCTTGATCCCTGGCTGGGGAGCCAAGATCCCACAGATCCCACAGGCCATGCAGTGTGGCCAGAAACATAAAAATTAAAATTAAAAAAAAAATGCAGCCAGAAAATAGACACTCACTTAGGTCTTTTTACCACAGATCAGAAAATAGAAGTGAATAAAATAAAGGGGAAATGGTAAAAGAGAATGCTCACCCCCACCCCCTTAAACACTCTGTATCCAAGGTGTTCCAAGAATTAGCTCTTTATGTATACGGAAAACTTGGGGTTGAGTGACCTGCCCAAAGTCACAGAAGTTGGTGGCAAAGCCATGTATAGATTCTAAATCTGTTTCTTTGGCCGGCATATGTCTTCTCTCATGCTAAAAGAAGATTGACAATGAATGCAAATATCAGGTATTGTCTGTATCACAGCCGACTTTGTGAAATTCTTGGAATGGTAAACCAAAATTCTAACCAAAGATATAAGTTTCTGATAGACACTCTTACTTGATTTAGCACCTGAAGTACCAAAGGCACTTGATGAGGGTAAAGCAACCCCTGAGACATTAGTGATAAACATAACTTTGCATCTCTTTTCAGTTCATCATAGCTATTGTCATTTTCCACTGGGGCAATCTAGAGAACAACAACAACAAAACAAAATAAAGACATAAATTGAAAAACAGCAAGTACAAAGGCATCCTTACATGAAATAAATCACATTTTTAACAACCTCTAAAGAAAAAATAAACATATACAAAACTAGAGAACAGTTTAATGAATTCCCATTAATCAACCAATTCTTCAACAATGACAAATTCATGGCTAATCCTTTCATTTTTTGCTCCCCTGTTGTTCCCCCTCCCTCAATTATTTGAAACAAATACCAAACATATTTCATCCATAAATGTTTCATTTTTATCACTGAAAGATAAAGACTCTTATTTAAAAAACATGTCATGACATCATACATAAAAACTCATCACAGCAAAATATATTCAGTAGTGCTCAAATTTCTCCAAGTATTTCATACATGTTATCACAATTACTTTGGGGGAATCTGGTTCAACATAATAACCACACAACACTGCATTTTGAAAGTCTCTTAATATTTAAGAAGAATCTATAAGTTTCCCCTACCCGCTTTCAAAATTCCTTTCTTTTAAAACAAGGGAGATGGGGTAGGTCCTTTGTTTTCACAGTTTCCCCTATTATGACCTCCCTTTCCTGACTACATTTTTTTGTGGCACCCACTGCTCTAGTTTGTCCTGTAAAGTAGCCATTAGATCTAGAGGTCTGATTTTATTCACGTCTGACTGGGCACAATGTAAGTATTAATGGTACTGTGTATTTCCTTCACTTACATCCCGTTTTCTCTTTTTGCGATAAACTATTATAAAAACATAAGTTTCCAAAATAGTGACACTCATTCCTTCTTCGTTGTTGCCCAGAATGCTTTATGGGCTTCTCGAGTGACTAGCGGTAAAGAATTCACCTGCTGATGCAGGAGATATGCGTTCAATCCCTGGATCAGGGAGATCCCCTGGAGAAGGAAACGGCTACCCACTCCAAGATTCTTGCCTGGGAAATTCCATGGTCAGAGGAGCCTGGCGGGCTACAGTCCACGGGGTTGCAAAAGAGTTGGACATGACTTAGCAACTAAACAACAGTCCAATGTTTTATACAAAAACCTCTTTCTTATTCAGAATGATTTCCCTAACCTCCAGATGTGAAAAATGAAACAATTTTTTAAAGTATCATTAAGAACCAATGAATTTCAATAAATTTGACGGTTTTAATCCACTGTGGTCACTCTTCTTTCTAGTGCTCAAACTGGCTCCAAGTCCTTTAACACAACTATAGCATCCTTGGTTTCTGGTATGACATGATGACCTAGGTTTATTCTGTACATTTCTCAGTTCAAACCATATTTTTTAAAGAGAAAGAGATCATGTATTAGCACACTTTTTCTTCTGAGTACCTGAATCTTGAAGAGAAAGATGCAAGGACACAGCACCCTGAGGAAACTTATTAGACGCTGTTACCCAGGTCTTCAGAGCTGCTGTGGTTCCTACTCTGTTCTTAAGCTGTTACTTCCATTCTATGAACTATGTAGATACTGCTGAGTAATTGAGCTAATTTACTACTTTTGTTGGCACAGTCACTTAGTTTCTAATGCTTACAAACAAAATACAAAATAAGAATACAATGGTATAAAAAAGGGATGATCCTAATCTTTCTCTTGCCTTGTTATCATACAAATTTATTATTTTTAGTGTATCACAAATAAGATTCAACTGCCATTAAACTGTGCTAACCTGTAGAAAGTGCTGCTCCTTTAGATGGAAACATGTCCCCTCTCTCACCCTGACCATTGATATTTGAGCTCTTGATTATTCCAAGTTAAAGTTCGGTTAAAGACTTGTAACAGAGATAACATAAGTACGCATTTTACATGGTGCTCTCTAGGTCACAGGCATTATCTTATTTCCACCTTGTGAGGGATACTGCTATTATTCCACACTTACATAGAAGAAGATAACCTTAGATGTTCAGTAGCTTGTCTAAGATCACCAAAAAAAGCACCTGTCACAGAAAGGATTTTAAACTAGATCTCTATTCAAAGCCTGTGCTCTGTTAGTTATTCTTGGTTAAAAACCCTCTTCTCTCACTCTGAAGCAAAATGGAGAATCTTAAAGTAGAATACACAAATAACTGAAACTTGTATTTCCAAGGGTTATTTTGGGGAAGGGGGATATAAAACTGCTTGTCATGGGACAGGAAAAATAATAGTTCATTTAGAATCAAATAAATACCTCAAATATGTCCAAAATAGAACCACTGATCTCATCTCCACTATCTCTGTGCTCCTCCTACAATTTAGTCAACTGTATAGCCCTCTCTTTACCTTTACTCTGTACATTTCACCTGTCTACACAATAATTCTGTTCATCCGTGCTGTGATACCCGCATAACCCAGACCCCTTTTACCATGAAGACCTAAAGGAGGTTCTCAACCTCAATATTTGTATAGTGAGGTCAACCCCTGTTAGGCCTGTTACTGGCAAACTGTGCGCTACAGCATTCTAATAATTTACAATTTTCATAAATTTCAAGTGGATTCAAACTATCCTATCAATCCCATTCTCATACACTATCTGCTTTCTGACTTTTTTTCTGAGTGAAGAAAGAAGGTGGAACTCCAGCTAGTCTAACATTCACTGCATATTACCCACTAATGAAACTATGAGCTCACGTTCCATACCCACTGTGAAAGGTGGCAGTGGAAAAAACTTTAAGCACCACTGCCCTAAAGACAAACCAAATCTATGCCAAGGACACACAAGTAACAAAGGCATATATATACATACACTAACAGCCACCGTCCACTTTTATATACAGAAGATCCCAAAGGTATTCTGGGTATCAGGCCCTATAGAGCACTTTAAAAAGAATCATAGTAGTGAATCCTTTGAAAATTACCAGGAGAGTTATCTTTTGGAATTTCCTAAAGACAAAATACACCTTGGCAGATCTGAAGTTTAGCGTGCCATTTGCTTATAAATAGTAACAAGGGCCCTGCTTCTTAAACAGCAACAAATGGATTGATCAATAACTGTCACGGAGTGAGGATATTTGTACTAAGCCTTCCCAACCTGAAATAAGACTATACTTAACCACAACCAACCACAGCATCACTATCAACTCTAATTCTGAAAACTACTACATTAATCTTAGTTTACCAGCTTTATTCACTGGATGAATGATTAAAACCACCTCAGGTTGTATCTTGCAGCAAATAAAACTTCAATATGATCAATGGAGACAAGTTACTTTCTGCAAGTGCTTGTTAGAACCAATGATATATAGTGCCATTTAACATTATAAAATAAGTACAATATCCGTGCATGCTACATCACTTCAGTCATGTCTGACTCTTTGCGACCCCCACGGACTGCAGCCTGCCAAGCTCCTCTGTTCATGGAATTCTCCAGGCAAGAGTACTGGAGTGGGCTGCATTCCTTTCTCCAGGGAATCTTCCTGACCCAGGGATTGAACCCGGGTCTCCCACATTGTAGGCAGGTTCTTTACCATCTGAGTCAACAGGGAAGCCCAAATACAATACACTGAACATTTTGATTTTTGGATTTATTACACATTAAATAAAAAAGTCAGAAACAGTTATATTCAAAAATGCCACTGTGACTTTTTTTTTTAAGCGACCAGTATTTCCCTAAACTATTACTTGAAAACTGGCTCTCAGTGAAACAATATTCTGTCTTTAGAATATTAGATTGGCTAGTTGTCTGTGATTGTGGTTTCAGTCTGTCTGCCCCTTGAGGCCCTCGGTGTGTGGGGCAGAGACATGTGGGGCCACCCAAGACGGATGGGTCATGGTGGAGCGGTCTGACAGAATGTGGTCCACTGGAGAAGGGAATGGCAAACCACTTCAGTATTCTTACCTTGAGAGCCCCATGAACAGTATGAAAAGGCAAAAAGACAAGACACTGAAAGATGAACTCCCCAGGTCTGTAGGTGCCCAATATGCTAATGGAGATCAGTGGAGAAAAAACTCCAGAAAGAATCAAGGTATGGAGGCAAAGCAAAAACAACACCCAGTTGTGGGTGGGACTGGTGATAGAAGCAAGGTTCGATGCTGTGAAGAGCAATATTGCACAGGAACCTGGAATGTTAGGTCCATGAATCAAGGCAAATTGGAAATGGTCAAACAGGAGATGGCAAGCGTGAACATCGACATTCTAGGAATCAGTGAACTATGATGGACTGGAATGGGTGAATTTAACTCAGGTGACCATTATATCTAGTTTTGTGGGCAGGAATCCCTTAGAAGAAATGGAGTACCATCATGGTCAACAAAAAGAGTCTGAAATGCAGTACTTGGATGCAATCACAAAAACGACAGAATGATCTCTGTTCATTTCCAAGGCAAACTATTCAATATCACAGTGACCCAAGTCTATGCCCCAACCAGTAATGCTGAAGAAGCTGAAGTTGAATGGTTCTATGAAGACCTATAAGACCTTCTAGAACTAACACCCAAAAGATGTGCTCTCCATTAGAGGGGACTGGAATGCAAAAGTAGGAAGTCAAGAAACACCTGGAGTAACAGGCAAATATGGCCTTGGAGTACAGAATGAAGCAGGGCAAAGGCTAATAGAGTTCTGCCAAGAGAATGCACTGGTCATAGCAAACACCCTCTTCAAACAACACAAGAGAAGACTCTACACATGGACATCACCAGACAGTCAAAACTGAAATCAGATTGATTATATTCTTTGCAAAGATGGAGAAGCTCTATACATCAGCAAAAACAAGATTGGGAGCTGACTGTGGCTCAGATCATGAACTCCTTATTGCCAAATTCAACTGAAAATGAAGAAATAGGAAAAGGAGTATGTCAAGGTATTGTCATCCTGCTTATTTAACTTATATGCAGAGTACGTCATGAGACACACTGGGCTGGATGAAGCACAAGCTGGAATCAAGATTGCTGGGAGAAATATCAATAACCTCAGATATGCAGTTGACACTACCCTTATGGTAGAAAGTGAAAAAGAACTAAAGAGCCTTTTGATGAAAGTGGAAGAGGAGAGTGAAAAAGTTGGCCTAAACTCAACATTCAGAAAACTAAGATCATGGCATCTGGTCCCATCACTTCATGGGAAATAGATGGGGAAACAGTGGAAACAGTGGCTGACTTTATTTTTTGGGCTCCAAAATCACCGCAGGTGGTGATTGCAGCCATGAAATTAAAAGACCCTTTACTCCTTGGAAGGAAAGTTATGACCAACCTAGACATCATATTAAAAAGCAGAGACATTCCTTTACCAGAAAAGGTCTGTCTAGTCAAGGCTATGGTTTTTCCAGTAGTCATGTATGGATGTGAAAGTTGAATTATAAAGAAAGCTGAGCACTGAAGAATTGATGCTTTTGAACTGTAGTGTTGGAGAAGACTCTTGAGAGAGTCTCTTGGACTGCAAAGAGATCCAACCAGTCCATCCTAAATGAGATCAGTCCTGGGTGTTCTTTGGAAGGACTGATGCTGAAGCTGAAACTCCAATACTTTGGCCACCTCATGCGAAGAGTTGGCTCATTGGAAAAGACCCTGATGCCGGGAGGGATTGGGGGCAGGAGGAGAAGAGGATGACAGAGGATGAGATGGTTGGATGGCATCACCGACTCAATGGACATGGGTTTGAGTGAACTCCAGGAGTTGGTGATGGACAGGGAGGCCTGGCATACTGTGGTTCATGGGGTCACAAAGAATCGGACATGACTGATTTTCCTGTAACGATTTAATGATTTTTTTTTAGAGATGTACACAAATCATTCAGCCTGAAAACTTACCATCTGATAATAATTCCTTCTGAAGGTCAAAAGGGTATACAGCTTTAAATTCAGACATAAACTTACCTTAAAGAACAAAGGCAGAAGCTGAAGTTGTTCTGCGACTGCTGTAGAGAATGATCTTCCTGCACTTGCCATCAGCCATTTCAAAACTTATGGAAATAAAAACAAAGAGTCACAGTCTTCGCTACTGAGTTAGAGACTACATAAGGTAGAATAATTCTATGATACTAGTGCCAGACAACCACTCTGAGAGCTCTTCAATGTAAAGAAAGAGATCATCTGTGTTACTTCACTGATTTGACCAGCAGTGTGACAGGATCCTTAACAAAAGTTATCAACCAATCCAGGGAACTGAAACCACTTTCAAAAGAATCAATCAGCTAACTATTGATGGTCTACAAACAACCACACGAAGTACAAATTAAAACCAGCCTTCAAACATCCTAACAAAGCAAAAATGATAATGAAATTAGTTGTTTACACTCATAGTAAAGAACTACAAGTCAAAAACAACAAAACAACCTAATACAATACTGTGCAAAGAACTTGACATTTCTCCAGAGAAGAAAAATGGAAATGAAAAGAAACAAAAATGAAAAATGAGGGAAATGTAAATCAAAACAAGATACCTTCTTCATACCTACTAGGAGAGCTACTGTCATAAAAATAGAAAGCAAGTGTTGGCCAAAATGTGGAAAAGTTGAAATCTTTCTGCACTGCTGGTTGGAATATAAAATGGTGAGGCCACTGTGGAAAATACCTTGGTGGCTCCTCAAAAAATTAAACACAGAATTACCCTATGGTATAGCAATTCTGCTTTCAATACCCAAAAGACCTGAAAGCAGAGACTCAAATGTAACTTTACATTAACATTCATAGAAATACTATTCACAATAGCCAAAAGGCATAAATAACCTAAATGTCTATGAATAGATAAACACTGAAAACATTACACAAAGTGAAAAAAGCCAGACATAAAAGGACAAATATTTTATAATTCTCCTTACATGAGATACCTAGAATAGGCATATTACAGAGACAGAAAGTAGAATGAAGGTCGTCAGAGGCTGAGGGAGGGGGGAATGAGGAGCTATTGTTCAGCGGGTACAGAGTTTCAGTTTTGCAAGATGAAAAGAGTACAAAGATGGGTGAAAGTGACGGCTGTACAATAATGTAAAGTATTTGATGCCACTCAACTGTAAATTTTATATTATGTACATTTTACCATAATAATTTTAAAAAAGAGAAAAAAGTCAATAGGATAATACCTGTTTTTAAAGCAAGTTTCTACTAATTTGAGCCACTCACTAGTTTTTAAGAGTTTAATGCCCTGGGTTCGTTCATCTTCTTCACCAATTCCATTTTCTTCCATAACATGGTTCTGAATTTCTTCATCTACATCCATGAGGGGTTTCAACTTCTCTAGAATTCGAGCAGTAAACTCAGGGACACGAGGTGATGCTGTTGGTGCAGTGTTTGGCAAAGAAACATCTATCATGAATATATAGGTCAGCACACTGTAAAATAAAATACATATGGTAAGAACAGATCCCACATTACAGATAAAATTAAGGTTCAAAAGTATGACCCAACCAAAGTAAATCTGCCCAGGACAATTCCTGGAGAGGGGCTTACGCCTGTGCCTACAACTCTGAGGTATCAAAACTGCAGTGTGGCAACCACTCCCCACTTGCTTGTGAGCACAATACCATCCTATTTTACACTCAGAAAGTATAAGTGTAGTTGCTCAGTCAAGTCGGACTCTTTGGGACCCCATGGACTGTAGCCCGCAGGCTCCTCTGTCCATGGAATTCTCCAAGCAAGAATGCTGAAGTGGACTGCCATTCCTTCTCCAGGGGATCTTTCCAACCCAGGAATCGAACTGTGGTCTCCTTCCATTCAGAGCCTCTCATCTAAGGTCCCACAGCACAATATAAAACAAAATCTGAAGAAAAGTATATCACAAAACTCAACAGTAACATAAACAGTATGTATTATTAGACACCAAAATTTAATAAAAAGAACTCAAGAGGTATACCATACCACAGGGAAAATAATACCCACCTCCCTATTCTTTCCCTGACATTTTTGTAAACCTGGGTGAGTTTAGGCTCCAAGTACTTCAGTAGTCTATGCAGTAACTCAGGCACTCTCCACTCTTGCTGGGCAAGGCCGCCTTGGAGGACATAGAGTCGACTAAAAATCAAAACAAATGAGAGCTGGGTTGGTGCCCCTCTCCATCTTTACCTGTCTCCCGCTCCCCAACTCTGTGGCATGTGGGATTTTAGTTCCCCAGCCAGGGATCAAACCCATGCCCCTTCAGTGAAAGGGCAGGGTCTTAACACTGGAACACAGGGAAGTTCTGCCTTTACATGCTGACAGTCTGTATTCTACCTAAAATTGTTTCATTTTCAAGCTGACAGTTTATAACAACATCTTTAGGAAGATTTTATTATTTTTTTCTACATCATTTTCTCTGTATCCCATTTCATCTCTACTACTATACAGTCAAAAGAAATGATGACTTTAGAATACTCATTGAGTTAATCACTAAGCATTAGAAGTTTCCTTACTAATTAATATTAATAATAAATTATTTTTCTTATTAACAGGATTATCTAGATTTCCTTCTCTTGTTCAGTAATTTGTTTTACAGCTCCTTACGTCCAATTATATTTTTCCTTAAAAGGATTACTATCTTCTTTCCTAATAGGAAAGAGTAAAAAATTAGATCATGTGATAAGGAAGTTAGTAATATCATAATGGTACAAAAGAGCAGTCCTGATAAGAAAAGATGTTAACAGTAGAGTAGGCTGGACCTACTTTATGTTTGAACTGCTCAGGTTGCCTTCATTTCTCCTACTTGTTCTCAAGTAAGAAGTAACTCTACTTAGCATCATAGGTTGTATGTAAATGGACTATGGTCATCTCCCAGAAGAACGGGGTTACGATATGTAGCCGTTAGAGGTATAGAACTTCACTTCCATTCTACATCAAGAACAAAGACGTTATCTTTTGTTAACCTCCTCAGCTTCCCTCTTATTTACCATGCATCTACAAAGGATCCTCCTTCACCACTCAGTGGTGATTCCAACAGCAGTTCAAAAAGCCAATGAAGTTTCCGGGGATCTCTGCTTTCCTGTGTTGAAAACATAAAGTAGCAATTAAATTCTGCAAATTAATTGCTATATAATTAACTGCAAATTAACTGCCATATAATTTTGCAAATAAATCAGACATCCTTACTTTAGAAATATAAACAAACCTAAGTCTCGAGGAAAAAGATCAAATTAAAACTTACAGGTGACTCAAATCCAAATGTAGCTGATGTCAAGAAAAGCAACAGTGAGAAAACTGTCAGCTAATCAGACTGTTTTAAGTCAAAGTGTAACGGCTCTGCACGTTTTTGGTGTCAAAAATGACCCCTATAACCTCATATCATCTGGCTTTTACTATATATAAGTGACATTTCTAGGTATATGATTTGGCTAGTCATTTAATCTAAAAATGCAATTATCATGGCAGAAAAGGTATAATTATCACTTAAGAGTTATCACTCAAGGCTTGTTTAAAAGGCTAAACATAACCATCTCTCCAGTTATGTAAGAGGACAAAAATTCAGGATCAAGAGATATGAGATTTTACACATTTTGAGATAGGGTATGAAAGAGCTTGAATAAATCATTAGTGAGACACAAAAATGAAGAGGAAAACTTACACAGGATGTTGCTATACAAGTCCCCCAGTCGTTGTAAGTTTCTACTGTAATGTTGGACAATGCTGTTCTAAGCAGAGGACAAAGAAGTTCCCAAAGCTGCTCCACCTACTCAAATAAAACATAAAAGTTAATGATACTCAGAACACGTTCCTTCAACTATCTGTTCCTGCAAACCTACACATACAAATATACAAACTGATCTTTCCTTTATTTCTTAAAAGACCCAAAGAATCGAAGAAGGTATCATGATACATGAAAACATGGCCAGGTAATATGGCAATTTCCTCCCCCCTACTCCCACACCCCCTCGCAAAAAAAAAAAAAAAAAATCAGAAGAGACAACTTATATGGTTCCTTACAAAATCTCTCCTACTATTGAGAAGTTCTCTATTCAAATGTCTGAATAACACAGTACACTGAGCTGAAATAAAACCTTAATCATCTCTCTTTTTTGCATGCTTATGGTCACAGGATTGATTCCCAATACAGGAACCAATGACATTTCAATACAATTTAGTATTACCTGAAAGTATCATCTTCATATTCCAAGTTTTGGGTTACTATAAATAGCATTTAAAAATGTGTTCCAGTTACACAGGCAGTGAAAATATGGGTCTGAACACTGAACTGCTTCTCATAGTTTAGTGACAGCACAAATCTCCTTGACAAAATGCAGATTCTGATTCATTAGATCAAGATGGGTCTTGAGATCCTACTTTTCTAATGAACTCCCAAGTGATGCCCAAGGTACAGGTCCATGGACCCTACTTTAGTCAAAAGGACTTATGTTAAGTAAGACAAATGGGAAGAGATGGTTTGGGATAAAATTTCCAGTTTAGCATTAGACACTGAAAAAAAAAGAAAAACAAGCTATATTCTAAAGAAGTAAAAAGGAAAGGGGCTGTATTCTGGGATTGAGATAACTCAAAAATGACAGAGAAAGGATGACAAGGCTACGTATTAACAGGTTTACATAAAACTGTTTCATGACATGCAAGCAGGAAAATGGCAATATTACAAACTAACAAATTATTTTATTTAATACACGATTTGAATATGTATAAAATAATATATTAATATATTAAAAAGTGTTCATAAACCCCCTACATGTAATTAAGTATGAATGTTTTCAGGCATTCTGGACATTTTACCAGGTTATTTTCAGTCTAGTGCATTTTGCCAAGAAAGAAACTAACCTTGAGGTGGATATGTAAAACTTAATCTTAAAATTCAAAAGAGGGATACTCAGAACAAGGCTGTCAAATTCAAAACTATCTACAAGACCAAATGAATAAAGTAGCACAGAGGCTAAGAGAAAAGATTTAAGGAGGAGCTAGAGCGTGCCTCATGAAGGGAGAAGCTCATGCACAGACCCAGCCAAGTGATACAGTGCAGCAACATGGGACCAGGATTCCAGGAGCTTCCTATTTTTCAAGAAAAACTAAAGTTCTTTTTGCATGACATACCTGGAGGGAAAATAATTCAAATTTTAAAAGATATTCAATGCCACCTACAGAACACGACTTTGTGACCTATACTCTAAAGCAATAAAGAGTCAAAAGTCAAAGTTGCTCAGTCGTGTCTGACTCTTTGTGACCACTTGGACTATACAGTCCATGGAATTCTCCAGGCCAGAATACTGGAATGGGTAGCCGTTCCCTTCTCCAGGGGATCTTCCCAACCCAGTGATCAAACCCAGGTCTCCCACATTGCAGGCAGATTCTTTACTAACTGAGCTATCAGGGAAGAAAAGCAATATGGAGTCAAACATTTCATCTTTTAGGTGCTAATATCATTTTTTTGTTTTTAAAGATCCGTGTCTCCTTGGTGCAGCAGTGAAAATGTTTTGATAAACACATAATCTGCTGTCCATTTTGGAGCACACGGGCACCACAGGCTGACCGCATGGAGATGAGCTAAGCACACAGGACCACTGGCCGCCCCACTGCTGTTCCCATCACCACCCCCATCAGACACCCGTCCAACCACCTGCTGCCTCGGTCCCTCTGGAGGACTGCTGGCCCCAAGGTGGCACTTGAACAGGGGCAGAGGGGCAGAGGAGGGTGAGGGGACTGATCCAGGTGTTAATACCCAATGCGTTGGGAATTGCTACACAAATGGATAATGCAGCTTTAAGAAGAAATGTGCTCTACAAATTACATCACCTTTTCAAATGTCCAATGCTTAGAGCCTCTGATTAAGCCAGCTATAATTTCTGCAACACATCGCTGGGTGCTCTCATGTGAATCTGCAACCAAACGTTCTAAATGGGGCTTCAGAACTGGCAGAAAGGCATCATCAAAATTTCTGAATATACCCTATGCAAATAAAGAAAAAGTTCTTCAGTACTCAAATGACTACACCTCCATTGTAACGTGCTCATTTTTGTTTACTATATTATTACTGTGCTTAAAATAATCCATGTTCTCACCTTAGAACTTAACTGCTTTAACAATGTCTGTAAGTTAAAATGGTAAAACCACTTGTCATTTGCCACATCACATTAAAATATAATCAACGAAATAAAACTTAATAATCTTTCTGATCTTACAAAAATCACACACACCTGAAGAAAAATCAAACAAACATGAAATGCACACAGTCTTGTGGGTTTTGGTGTTTTACCTCCACTGCTAATTATAAATACTAGAGATAAACACTAAAAAGCCTGGTTTTCTGAGTCCTAAACCTTAAGCAAAGATGAATATGACAGGCATTACTTCCAAAGTAATTCTAATAAAGGTAACAGATGACTAAACTCAAACTTTGATCAAATACTTTCAAACTCACAAACCTACAAACTGAGAATCACTAAGCTTCATGAAAAGGGTATATAAATAACAGTTACCTTAAAGAGGCAAAACCGTCGAGGATTAAATTTATCTTTTCCTTTTCTGTCTTCTAAAGATAGAAAGGTAATTAACTGTTCGACAAATTTAGGATCAGAAAAATGATCAAATATAATCTGTTCTGCCTATAAAATTGAAAAAAAAAGAGAACATTCAGGGATTTAAATTTATTCAAAATTATCTCCATATTTATAAACTACCTTAAGTTAAAAGTAAACTTTGTTCAGAATTAGAAAACAGAAGCTACAGCATAAACGTACTGAGGAAGACATAAACTTAAAATTCTTCAAAATGATAAAGAAGTTCTATGAAGACTGAGAGGTTCCAACCTAAATCTACAAACAACTATTTACTGATTATCCACCATGTATATGCAATAAAAAACTAAAAGTCAGTATCTAAGTGAGTGCTAATTAGGCAGTTTAACTTGAGAGTGACTTAGAGACATAAGCCTCGTGTCAGCTGGTCCTGAGAGAAGGGCGGAGGGTTGTGGCAGGGGGAGAAAGGGAGTGTACATTTTCCAATATTTACTGTACTACACTGCAGGACGCAAACTGGGGGGAGCGAAACATGAACCAAGTTCTAATAAATCAATAGCCAAAAGCAAGACACATATGAACCAGGTAAGTGTTCACACATGGTGAAATTAGATGCTTACCTCTGTCAAATCCTCCCTGCTTCTGCCAAGTTTAGGCTGCTCTTCTACACCAGCATAAACAACCATATTCCTACACAGTAAGAGTTTGTATTGGTAACACACATAGATAGAAAACAATATTAGAGCTTCATGGATAAAAAGCATGAGATGTCCACCATCAGACGAATGGATAAGAAAGCTGTGGTACATATACACAATGGAGTATTACTCAGCCATTAAAAAGAATACATTTGAATCAGTTCTAATGAGGTGGATGAAACTGGAGCCTATTATACAGAGTGAAGCAAGTCAGAAAGAAAAACACCAATACAGTATATTAACGCATATATATGGAATTTAGAAAGATGGTAACAATGACCTTATATGCGAGACAGCAAAAGAGACACAGATGTATTGAACAGTCTTTTGGACTCTGTGGGAGAAAGCGAGGGTGGGATGATTTGAGAGAATAGCATTGAAACATGCATATTTTCATATGTGAAATAGATCACCAGTTCAGGTTCAATGCATGAGACAGAGTGCTCAGGGCTGGTGCATTGGGATGACCTTGAGGGATGGGATGGGGAGGGAGGAGGGAGGGGAGTTCAGGATGTGGAACAGATGTACACCCGTGGCTGATTCATGTCAATGTATGGCAAAAACCACTACAATACTGTAAAGTAATTAGCCTCCAATGAAAATAAATTAATTGAAAAAATACAAAAAAAACCCCCAACAGGTTGCACATCCTAATGACAGAGATTACTAGGGTAAATAAGAGATAAAGAAGTGTTTCTTGGGGCAGGTGTAGTATTTTTTTAATAGGCAGGAATATAATTCAGAGCAACTATTAACAGACTCCTTAGAAGTGTAACGGTAGGACTAAGGAAGGGTAAGGGTTTCAGAAGAAAGACAAGAAAATAGGAGGATGAGGCACAGCACGGACCGGCAAGAACAAAGAAAAGAAGAAGTCATCTGTGGTGACAGAGCACCTATGCTTCACTGCCTCAGAACGTCTGGAGAAATCCAGACGACAAAACAAACGCTATCGAAGATGAGCTGTTCAATAATAAGGTGCTTGGCAAGCTGCAACTTACTGTGGCCAGGTGTAGTATCCCCAGTGAGTTTTTTCCACAAAGCAACTTGACTCCCATTCTTTCTTAGTTCTTGGTATGCTTTTGCTATCATAATGCAACCAGTAATTATCAGGCCTATCACCAGCAACAATCTGGGTGGGTTTAGGATATCCACCTAAGGAAAAGACAATTACATTTGATGAACTTCAAAATATCTATGCAATAATTATTCTCAATAGCCAATCCATAGTGCTAGTGTGACTTTATCTTCAAAACAAGATTCTATGAAAATTCACTCAAGCAAAAAACCACATACGTAAGAAGTATTTCAAATCAGAAGAGGAAAAATGGGCTTATCATCTACTAAATGGTGCTGGGATAGTTATCTGAGGGAAAAAAAAAATTAAGTCTGATCCATACTTCATTTCTTTTACCAAAATTAAAAAAATTAATTTTGTTAGGTTTGATTAATTCAACTAGGTTTAATTAATTACAAAGCTCAAAGAATTCCTATGTATTCCTCAACCAGATGCCTTCAATTTTTACATTTCACCATGTGTACACTTTGACATTCTCTCTCTCTGTTCCAAAATAAAGATGTTGGTGCATAGCTAAACTCCCCTCCTAAAATGGGGTGGGAAGGAAAACTAAAGACAGCTGTTAGAATATCTCAGGAGTTACCAGAGATTAAAAAAAAAAAATTGATAGTCAAATGATAAATTTGGTTAGGATTTGGCATGCTCACTGCCTGGGTTCGATTACTGGTCACAGAACTAAGATCCCAGAACTAAGCATAAGGTACAGCCCCCCAAAAATATTTCTCCTTCCAAAATCAAATTAACTTTGCCCCTAAACATTTATTGATGAATTAATGGTAAAGATATTTAAGTCTTTGAAACACAGTTTGGGAAATAACTTGTCTAACCGCTTAACTGGTGAGATAAATAAGAAGTAGATAACATGTATCCAGAGTGTGTAAAAGGTACACATTTTACATATTATAAAGACATAAAGAGTCATCTGTTTTTATAAATATTGTTATCACTAGTTTTTACTAGGTCAATTGTTTTCCCTTTATAATATTATTTCATACTTAGAATTAAAATCTTCCTAGGGGCTTTCCCTGGTGTCCAGTGGCTAAGACTCTGTACTCCCAATGGATGGAGTCTGGGTTCGATCCCTGGTCAGGGAACTAGATCCAAAATATCACAACTAAGAGTTTGCAGGCTGCAACTGAACATTTAGCATGCTAAAACAAAGAACTTGCATGCTACAACTAAGTTCTAGCACAGCCAAACAAATAAGCTTTGGCACAGCCAAACAAATAAATATCTTTAAGTTAAAAAAAAAAATTCTATACTTCTATACTTGGTACAGAAAAATATTTGGATCAAGAACTGTAATTTATACATTCCAAAGAAGCTTTCCAAGTCTGACTGAGAAGCACGATTCATCTTGGTAATACTTACTGATTTCATAGGGACTGACGGTCAGTTTTTTGTGGGTTCTTTTTAGCTGCTTAAGAATACCAGCAACAGCTGAGATTGCCATCTAGAAAAGAAGCAGGTAAGGTACATTTTACATCTCTCAAAGGGTTGTTACCTTTTCTCTCAAAAGCAGAGAAATATCTCACCCACTGACATATGACGGTACAGTCACGTGAGTGCTAACTCTGATTTGGGCTGAGTCGCTTGCAGTTCTTACTGTTGAACCCTCACCCATGCGAGGCTCTGCCTAAACAACCTGTATCCTTTGTTTGTTAAGCCAATTCCTGCTCATTCTTCCTATCTCAGCCTAGATATTTCTTCCTAGGGATCTTTTCCCAATGCCAGGTCACCTGCCTCAGATGGTTTTCAAGTAAAACCAAAAATCTGTATCCCTCAGACACCTTTTCCTTCCTGTAACATGTTATAATATACCTGTGGTTAATTTTTCAAAGTCAGGCTTTCCAATAACCTATGAACCTGCTTCCTGCTATATCCCCAGTGTTGAAATTCACAGCTCCTGAGAACACCCCTTCATGTATTTGTTGGATGAATTATTAGCATCTCTGATCCAAGAGAGGTAGACTTCAAATTAATATACTTCAACATGTAAAAATTCTCAAACACAAGATTATAGCTAAAATAAAATATCTACCTTTCGAACTACAATTGCATCATGGTTGAGATTCTCAACAAAAAAACGTATGGCACGAAGAGGCAACACTCTGTCATCTCTCAAGAGCAGAGACAAAAGCCCAATGCCTATATGCTCAAACTTCCAGGGCCTGAAAAGGGGAGAGTGGGAAAAAAATCAGAAAACACACTGACAGTCATTCATGGTCTTCAGGGTAGAAATCCCCTATAACATTGAAGATAAAAGCGTTGGGAATTAAAAAAATACTTTTTTTTCCACTTACAAATTTCTCTGCTCCACACCATCTAGCAAAGTGTTAACCAAATTTTCATAGTTCCTTAAAAAAAAGAAAGAAATTCTGGTGAGCTACTATTTTAATACAATGCTAAGATGAGTATCAAAAATGTAATATAAATTCAAACTCCTGCCAAATTCACCGTCCTCATTACCAGACTATAAAGGGTCTGATGAAAAACAAGCCAGAGTGAAGTAAGCAGACAGGTGACACCAAAAAGAAAATGAGAAAAGAGAGAAAAAGTAGAGAGAAAAAAAAAGTAGTGTTAGGTACACTGAGCAATTGAACTGTTCTTGGGTGGACATTCAAAAGGAAATCCGTGAGTGGTAATCAGGAGTGGTCTACCTACACAACACCCAGGTAGGTATACATGAGGTAGCCTATAAAGTTTATTATTTATATAGAAATGCTGGGGAAAAAATTAACGAGTACATTTATAAGGCAAAGAAAATAATAAAGTTGGGAAAGCTCCTGCTTGAGTGTTACTGCTGAAGTACTTTGGTTCCAAAAATCTAAAAGCAATTTACTAATATCATGATAACAAATTTGTATAAATTTGATCAAAAGGTTACTACTCTAAGAACTATGATGAGATAAGTATACTGAACTTAATTTAAGATTTAATGAGTGGAATATGTATACTAAAAGAAAAATCGATTCATGTTGGAAAAAAACACATGATGTGATTATTTTAAGATGGTGTTTTTCTATCTCCATAGCTAAAAGTGACAGACAGATCTTCACAATAACTACCTCTTAACATTTTGGTATCTCTTCAGTATCAATGTGTAAATTTCATTAGGTAGTTATAGTGCATCGCTATTGAGAGATATTTAAAACCTACTGTCTATATTTACACGTCTGGATAAGCAAGCATTAATAATTACCTCAAGGCATCAACATTCCTCTCTTGTTGGCGTTTAAGTCCTTCTTTAATTTCTTCTGAGCTAAGCATTGTCTGATTGATAGAGGGGTTTTTTGATTGTTGAAGTAATTCTGCTATTCCAACACATGACTCTGGAATCTTATTAAAAAGAAAAGACACGAAGAAAATGAAGTATGGACATACCGTGGATAAATCTTGACAACATTATGCTAAGTGACAGAAGCCAGATATAATTGGCCACAAATTGTATAATTCCATTTACACATAATGTCCATAATAGGCAAATTAACAGAGAAAAAGAGCAAGTCAGTAGTTTCCAGGGCCTAGGGATATGGGGAAATGGGAAGCAACTATTACTGGGTATAAAGTTTCTTTATTTGAGTAATTATAATGTTCCAGAATTTGAGTACTGATGGTTGTACAACCCTGAGAATAGACTATTGTGATTATAAGCACACAACTGTTATGTTAAAAAGGTTTTTGTATGTGAATTACAGCTCAAGTTTTAAAAAAAAATTTTTAAAAGAAAGTATAATCTGACAGTTACAAATAGTAAGAGGGTATTTTGCAAAAAAGGTATACATTTAGAGTAGTGGTTTTTAAAACTGAGGATCGATGAAAAACAAAATAACTTCAGAAAAGAGGAGGATTCAACTGTACTCACATCTCTTACCCATCCCCAATTCTGTTGGGTGTGTAAATAAGCATTTGAAAATTTTTAGATGACAATCTGGCTCTGCATCCTCATCTTAGCTCTACTGAACCTGACACTTACTTTTTCATCTGTCAAATCATCCAATTTAAATCTTCACTATAAATTATGAACCCTGTAGTCAATCTTCTGTGACTTTGACTAGTAAAACTGACCTCCTAAAACAGAACAAACTTTCAGAAAAATGAGGCCACAGATATACAGGGAATAATGGAAAATGCCAACAATGTAATATACTTTGTGGCCTCCTGGTAGAAAATCACCCAGTTCTCTCCTGGCCATGCTTCAACTTTCTACTTCACCCTGCCATTTACAGTAATGATCACTAAAGCATTAAAAGGGAAGAGAAAACAAATGCTTAAAAAAAAAGAATCAAATGCCAAGAAAATGATTACTGAAAAAGAGACAAGAAAAATCACAGCATTTTAACAAAGCAGTGTGCACACTAATGTTTGAATTTAAAAAATGATTTTGCTTACTGTGAAGTCCAAGCCAATTGTTTCATATTGCCGATGAATCTTTTCTGCAAGATCATCAAACAGTCTCACTATTGATGGCTTTTCCAGGGACATTGCTTGGCTAAGCCCAGAAGAAACAATTGCTGGCCAAGTCTGTACAATACAGTCCCAATCATGAAGGTTTGCCAAGCATACACCACTGTGATTTCCAAGGAGACAATACAAGGCACCCTGCAGGAAAAAATGAAGATGAGAACTAAGGCACTGTTTAGTTGTAGCCAACAAACCTACATGTTGTTTTCCAATCTACTCAACATTGATTATTTAAATGCTTGGTATTGGTTAGTAAAACAGGTTCACACATTTAACATGTTACTTTTATAGAGATCTGAACTTGACACTTAAGTGCAATCCAATAATATTTTCTCTAAGTCATTTAACAGATGGTTAGCTCAAGGAATGACTATTAATATAGAAATGTAAAGATTTGCTTTTAAGGATATTAGCTTCCATTCTAATTCTCTGCTACTACATTTATAGAGGCTGTGAAATCTGCCACTCTTTGCATGTTAGGGTATAATGTCTGGAGTACTTAAAAAAATAGTAGTTAAATCTGGTTTCCAAGTATCTCCCTAATTATATAAAAATTCGGTTACTTATACTGCGTAATTTTTATTAATACTAGTAAGGTCTTTATAGTCAAAACTGTTTTTCCAGTAGTGATATATGGATCTGAGAGTTGGACCATAAAGAAGGCTGAGTGCCAAAGAATTGATGCTTTTGAACTGTGGCATTGGAGAAAACACTTGAGAGTTTCTTGGACTGCAAGGAGATTAAAGCAGTCAATTCTAAAGGAAATCAATCTTAAATATTCATTGGAAGGACTGATGCTGAAGCTGAAGTTCCAATACTTTGGCCACCTGATGTGTAGAGCCGATTCATTAGAAAAGACCCTGATGCTGGGAAAGATGGAAGACAGAAGAAGGGGATGACAGAGGACAAGATGGTTGGATGGTATCACTGACTCAATGGACATGAGAGTGAGCAAGCTCTGGGAGATGGTGAAGGACAGGGAAGCCTGCCGTGCTGCAGTTCATGGGGTCACAGTCAGACACAACTGAACAACAACAAATAGGGGTTCAATTAAACAAAATGATTCTGATGACAGTAGATACCTCTTTTTAAGGTACCCTATTTTACTGAGGACTTCCTCTAAGGCTTAGTGAGTAAAGACTCTGCCTGCAATGCAGGATATACTGGAGATGCAGGTTCAATCCCTGAGTTGGGAAGATTCCCTTAAGGAGGAAATGGCAGCCCACTCTAAATTTTCTTGCCTGAGAAATCCCATGGACAGAGGAGCCTAGCAGATTACACTCTATAAGGTCGCAAAGAGTCAGACATGACTGAGTGACTAAGTATGCATGCATTTCAATAAAAAAGAGCTATCAGGATCAAATCATTTTATTTCCTGAACATTCACAATTCCAATCTGGCTTCTTAACCACCTTGGACTCTAATCCTCTTTATGGTTCTTAAAGGTCACTGTAACTTCGATTTTACTGACTTCACAGACAGTTTCCAATTTTAATCTTACTTGACCTGTCTGATTTTGTCCATTTAAACTGCTTTCAACAACATATCACCCAACGAGTTAGACTGTCTACAACCCTCTTGAATTAGATACCTGCCTTGGGGGTCAGCAATTCCATTACTGTGAAATTCTTTCAACTTTTCTCCACAGTTGAAAAATACTGTAGTAAAAACAAAAACGCTGTACCTTGAACTGCTGTTGAGTGACATCTTGTCTATCAGGTCGTAAGAACCCCAAAACCAAGGGTATGATATCTCTGCAACAGAAGTTATATGCTCCCAAGGCAGCAAAAAATGTTTGCTGGGCCTTATTTCTGACCTAAAGAAAGAGTTATTAACAGACGTTTATTAAATGGTAGAAAAACTACAAAAAAAATTCCACATGAATGATTAAAACAAAGCAGTAGTAATTTACATGCTGTAGTAATAACAGAAAAAATATACCAAAGCACATAACAAAAATGAGTAAATAATAATCTTTCTATCAGAAGGAAAGCAAACTACCACCAACTACATCCAAAGTTTAAGTTACACTTGTTCAATCATTTTTGGTAAAAGAGAGACTGAATGGAACCGGTATGCAATTATTCAGTAACATAATCAGCAGACTATTAAACTTTTTATTCTGAGTCTTTCTTAACGAGAAGAGTCAGACTGTCTTTTGTGTCTACATGAGGAAAATCAAAGACTTTCCAAAACACAAAACAACTTAAACTTTTTAATGCAAACCTTAGGTATAGGCCACATATTTTGAACCCAAACAAAAGATTCAGTATAAATTCATAACTCATGAACTAGCTAAATAGTAATGAACAGCTCATTATAGTAAAAAGCAATACATAGTACATTTTTCAAACTTTTAAAAATAATACTTCAGGCAAAATCTCTGGGTTAGACTGGTTTCCTAATTTACAGACTCATTGGCTGTATATAAATCTCTTCTAAATTTTTGGTCCTATGCTACCTAAAAGGATGCACCCACAGTTCACATGGTATGAGCTTCCTAAACTCGAGCATAATGCCACAGAATTATATGGCTTTCATAGGCTGGTATTCATATGATTTAAGTGGTATCAACATTACACTAGCTACACCACCGTTATCTACTTTAGTTATATTTTTAGTTATAGTTTAGTTATATTTTTTAAAAAAATTTTTGAGAAGCAATTATAAACAGTAAAAATAAATGTTATTTTAAAAAGAGAAGCAAAACTAATTTGAATATATTTGTAACTTAAAACATAAACTTTTGATGCTAATAAATTATTTAAATTCCCTTGTTAAAATGGGGATACTTAATTTTTTTAAAAGACTTTTTATTCTGTATCAGAGTATAGCTGATTAACAGTGTTGTGACAGTTTCAGGTAGACAGTGAAGGCACTCAGCCATACATGTACATGTATCCACTTCCCCCCAAACTTCCCTCCCATCCATTCTGCCATGTAACACTGCGCAGAGTTCCACGTGTTTTACAGCAGGTCCTTGTTGGTTACCCACTTTAAATACAGCAATGTGTACATGACATTCCCAAACCCCCTAACTATCCCTTCCTCAAAATGGGGATACTTTAGATTGAGTGTTACAAACTGGGTAAGAGGGGGACACACCCAGAGTGTTTGGACTAGCCTTACCTGACTGTATGAACTTGTAGATAAACGAAGAAGATCTCTAATCATATCTTGATGTATCTTTTTATATTCACAACCTTCAACAGTTAGTGTTCGCAGCTACAAAGAGACCAGTGTAAATCAAATCTCAAAGTTTTTAGTAAAAGTTCATTTAATTATGACATAACACCAATACTTAAATATGTATCTGAAAAACTGTCATTTAAAAAATGTCATCATGGCGAGTTCCTTGGTGGCCTGGTGGTTAGGATTTTAGGTTTTCACTGCTGTGGCTCAGGCTGAATCCTCAGCTGGTGAACTAAGGTCTCACAAGCCGCATGCAAGGCATGCCCCTCCCCGCAAAAGGTATCTTGATTTTAAAAAGCTATTTACCTCATGCTGCAACATGACTCTGTCAATCAATAGTGCTCTGATATGTTGTTTTTTCCCATGGAGCTGAAAAACAGAGTAGCAAACACTTCAACATCTTCCATGAATGCCTCACAATGGGGTCCTCTGAATCCCTTAACAAAATATTAGCTCAAAGAAGGTACAGGAAGGGCTTGTGGGTAGTGGAGGTGTTTCACTTATTCTAAAAATCATGAGACATATTTAAAAATATATTATTTCAGTTAATTTTATGGCTAATTGTAGGGATATTCCCTTTAAATAGCTCATCCAACACCCATTTTTTCTGATGATGTATTAACAAATCCATGTGTGGGAGAGCAATGCAGCTGGTCTTTATTCAGCCAAATACAATACTAATACTATAAATACAACACCAGCCCACTAAGAAAAATTACTGACTCTACTACATTTATAAATAGCCTTTCTGGGTAATTGTGTATGTTTACTACAGAATATAACATCTTTTACTTTTTTAAAAATTATCTTTTAAGTTTTCCCCTACCCCCAAACTTCTACCCAGTCACTAAATGAAGAAGTCTGGAACCCAGATTCCTCTTTTACACCTTTATCTCATTGGCTATCAAGCCCCAGCCAATTCTTTCATTTTCAAAACCCCTTACCTCCACCCTAGTGCAGGCTATGCTTTTCCATCTGAACTATTACTAAAGCCTCTTGACTTCCAGGCTAGTTTACCTACTGCTTATTCTTACAGCAGTGGCAGAGCTTTTTAAAATCCACTGAACTGAATACTGATCCTTTCAATATTCACATCAGATCTACTTAAGAACTTTTAATGACTTCCCCACTGCTGAATGTAAAACTGAAGCACATTCCTGGAACAAAACTAGAACTGACCTAGTTTACCTCCTGCCACTCTTACCTACAACTACTGTTCCCTAAGGCATGCCATGTTGGTAAATCTCCCTGCCTTTTCCCATGTCAATCTCTTTGTTTAAAATATGTAGCACCCCATGCCTAAACAACGAACTCGTAAAACCTTTACAGTCTCAATTTCCAAAACCACTCTCCCAATGAAGAACAGTGCTATGATCATCAAAGGGCTGATTTAAGTTATTCTTTCTTCCATGCTCCCAGGATATCTTATATTGACCTCTCCTGAAGAACAAATCAAGATGAAATAAAACACAATGCTTTAAATTCATGCCTATGGGCAATTCCTACTTTTCATCACTTTAGGTTCTTCTATGATAGCGAGAATGCAGTTGCTAAGTTATCATACTCCAAATTGCCATTGAGAGTTCAGAAACTAGCACGGAAATTGACAGAAGAGGTTTCAGTAAAGTATATTTATTTCCAGGATCCTTTTGATTATACCAGGATATAGCATTTGAAAATCTACTATTTTTACTTACAGGGAAACGTCCTCTGTATGCTGAACAAAGCTAAATTAGGTGGTTCTGTCAATATTATATACCTTTAAAATAAATTCTGAGTTGTAGGTGAAAATACTGACCCGATTTTCCATTGATTTCTTTACTAGGTTAAAACTTTTCCAACGAGAGTCAAATTCATGCTTGTGAGATCCTTGGAACTGCAAAAGGTCTCCAATAATCTGTGCCAAAGAATTTCAAATTTTATATTTATGAGTTGTCACATCAAATCTGGTCATATTAATAACCATGCAACTGTGTAAATAACAATTGTACCTTTATGATAAGAAACAAGGACTTGGTATCATCTTCTGAATTATTAAGTATGTGATCTATAATAGGAGGAAAAGAATTTTTGTTAAAATATCTTAAATTACCATAGGACTCCTGATATACTAGAAAAGAATGGAAAAAAAAAACCCCACTGCCTGATATTCTCACTATTTATAATTTTTAAATCGTTAAGTAAAAGCACATATGCTATAAAATTTCTAAATACTTAGTAAAAAGAAATTAGTTAAATACATGTATGTACTTACTAAGAAGTTTCCTTATGACCCTAGCAATTGTTTCTCGGTAGTTCTCTCTGGATAGATCTATTTTTAAAGAACGAGAAAAGTCATTTTACACACACTGAATGCAGCCCAGAGCTTTGAAGTTTATATTAACAGTTATGTCAAGAAGAGATAATGTATCCAGGAAGAAAACATATGGGTCTGTATATGGAAAAGAATCTAAAAAAAGTAGACACATATGTGTAACAGATTCACTTTGCTGTACACTTCAAATTAATACAACATTGTAAATTAATTGCAACTACACCTCCAATAAAAATTTTAAAAAAAATGGGTCTGTCTTTATCATAGATGGTTAGTAGCTTGGCACAAGACAGAGCATCTTTTAAAACCTGCACAGTTACAAGAACCTGCTTATAAACCTTTATTATTAGGCAGGCAAGGAGGAGGGAGACAAAACTGTCTTTGCCAATATTTCAAAGGCTCTAGTCACTAACTATGGACCAAAAATGCATAAGATTCTTTAATTAGTTGTGGTGACCCAAATCAGACAAACAAAAATTACATCTAATTAACTAATATATGCAACGAACTCCAATGTTAATCCAGCAATAAGGAAGTGTGCTAAATTAGTTAATGTTAGATTCAGAACATTAAATTAATGCAAAATGTTTTGCATAAATTGAATATATAACGGTTTGGCTCAAGTAAAAAATAACAATTCTAACCACAAATGAGCATTACAACATATGGAAGTCTCCCTTTGCACATAGAAAGCATCTATCCTTTAATGGCTATTCTTTATATAATAATTCTCCACTTTCTCTAGAAAAAGCAAAGATAATATTATGTAATTAATATTCATTTTACATATAAAAGAGACTAGAAAATTTGTAACTACAGAATTATCCCATCTTAACCCTTGTAGAGTAACTGATGAAAATAATCCACACAGATTTACTCAGATTAGGATTCACATACCATATTCAAGTCCAGTATATAACTTTGTCTCTTCCAAGGACACCATACTTGGTACCCTGTATAAAGACAAGAATGCCTGTATTTATTAACAACACCAAAAAGGAGGTTTAAAGGGAAAAATGTCACTGCTAGAATGTTTAGATGATCATCTTTAACACAGATCTCTCATCTTCAACACTTTAATTCTTTACTCTAGCCTTCTGAAGACTAATGGTCTGTTTCAATAAGTACAATATTATTAATCTTCAAAAAAACATTAATTAAATGTAATGACTTTGGGGGCGGGATTCAATGCCCAAATGAACATAACATTGATATTCAATATACAAGTGTAAAAGCTTAAGACTGATGATAAACATTTATACAAGGAAAAGTAAACTTTCAATGTTATAATAATGGTTAAAATAAACACCAAAAAAATCACCATCAAATTTTACTGTAAAATATATAGCAGACAAGTTTCTTTAGATAATCATTACTCTTTCTCTTATAACCAGCTAAAGTGATCTCTCCTAACATCTCCAATAAAATACCAGTACTTCTGAAGATGTTCAGATGTAAAAATACTACATTCAAAGTCACATTTTAGGTACATAAGGACAGATTCTACTGGGGAACATGAATTTTTATATCTGAAATATAAGTTTTCTTTAATGAAAAACATTTTATTTCAAAATATGAGATTCAATTCAATAGCTTCTTATAAACAAAGATGTTAACACTTTCTAAGAAAAGGAAGAAAGGAGCAAATTGCCAAGGAGACATGAGATGAGCATATCCTATATAGGGCTTTATAGTAATAAACGGAGGTTTGTAATTATTGCTCGTAATTCATGAACTACTACTTGTAAAGAAGAAAAACACTATTTTTAAATCAACACCCCCTGCCGATACTGTATTTATTTTTTAAGTTGAACTAAGTTATCTCTATCCTAATAACTGGTTGCTAGGATTCTGGGATTTATCTAAATGGGTAATAACATTAAGATTACTAAAACCCGATTATTTAACTATGTTCCTTGCCATGATATAGTGCCTAGGACGGCAACAGCACTGTCTCAAGTTTCAAAACCAAGTCTACAGAATATAAACAAAGAATGGTAATTTCTTAACATAAAATGTTAATTTGCTTTTCAGAGAATTTCTTCAGAAAATTTCAAGTTCAAATTGTTCTTAAAATCTTGTTTTCACTCCATAAAGTTTCAACTTTTGGCAACAGCGTGAAAACTTGAACATTCTGTAAAAATGTGTATGATTGAAAAATATATATGCATACAGAGTCTAGGTCAGTAAAAAATAAGATCAGATTCTTTCACAGTGAACTTCAAGGGGAGTTCAACATCTTTACTGAAATTAGATTTCACCAAGAAAGAGAAAAGGCTCAAGCATTAGGCGTAAAACTGTTAATCCCCACCCCCACAGAGCAGGGGAAGTACTTGTCACAAGCTATCACAGGAGAACACAGGTCTCCTTGCTGCTAAAAACGTAATACAACTGTACCTTGCCCAACCCGTACCTAGTACCACATAATATTGAATCAAGCATGCATTCTAATTATTGTCACAAAATTACTCTTAACAAATGAGTTTTTTAAAAGCAATCTCTATAAATAAACTATCCTGAAAATTTTTGTACTGTATCAAACACACAAGCAAACAAAAGGCTATCAGTTAGGAATCTGAAATGTTTTTTTAATATGCCTTTCTGACTCTACTACCGCCAATTATACTGTAACCACATTTAAAAACAAGTCTCATCTAAGGGTCCCGATGCTAATTGTAAAAATCCACATGTCACTCTGAACTGTTTCCTTATCAGAAAATTTTAAAAATACTATCATTTATTACACAATTATTTAAAAACATATCAACCTGTATGGGATTTAAAAATATTTAAGTAGCTTATTTAAATTAAAAAGGCTTCAGTTTTTACTTTTAAAACCTGAATTAAAACACATCTTACACATCTCAAGTGCATAAAAGGCATTGGTTTAGACACATATTTCAGCTTTATTTGTTTTTAATCCATCTCGTTTCTTCTATGCTTATTTATCTAAGATTCAGCTTTAATTTATCTCTTATCTAACAAATTAACTAAACTGATTGTATTGACACCTTTTACACTGAATGTTTCTGAGTACAAATATTTTTATTAAATAGTTCTTCTGATCTTTCTTTAAAAGAAGAATTTTCTAAAAGAAACCTCTCTCCATTACTCAAATAAGACTCGTATCTCTTTGTGGCTACTACAATTTAAGTCTATGTGTGCTAGGCTATACTCTCCCATACTTAAAACTGCTCTTGTAACTTTTAGTTATGTACATAATCGTTGCCAAGTAGACTTAAAGTGCCATCAATAATTAGAGATCTGCATTCTGATTAAATACTATAGTAACAATACATATAATTTAAATCAAACACCATGACTCCCCCACCTAAAGTGAAATTCATTCTACTCATTCATTGGTTCATTTTTACAAACAGGAATATAAAAATTCTGACAATTTCAACACAGCATATTATAAATAATATAAACTATACAATAATCATCAAGTTAAATCAGGTTCACAGCAACCACACAGTACCACCAAGCCACCTAATTTATAACAAAATGTGTTTAATATTTGCACCACTTAAAAAACAAAGCTTTCTACAACTATGTTATTTGTACCACAGGATGACAATCTTTAGATCTGATTAGAGTAGAACTATGAAAATAATCACTGGTGGGAAAGAAAGGATGGTGAGAAAAGAAGAAATGACCAATAACATAAAAACAAAATATACAATACAAATCAGATAAGCAAATGAAAGCTAGCTGAACTGTCACAGAACAACTGCAAACAATAATTCTTCCTGTCTGTAGGTGGAAGAACAGCCTACCCTTCCCCAAATCCCTCCCCTCCCAAATGAAAACAAACATAAAAGGTATAAAAGCCAAGCCACTAACAGATCATTTTTTCCCCCTCAAGGTAACAAGTGTTTCACAACAGACAACTGACCTATTTCTGGGTTCTGTTATCCTGTTCAGTCCTGGGCACTGGCAATGCTATAAACACAAATGAAAAGCTGGCTCTTGCTCCACCATGTGAACAAATGGTTTGCCAAGTAAAGAGGATCTTACATGCCACCAGGTTTACAATGAACTTGGAGCCTAACAACTACTTCCATGTCTGACACACAAATTTTTAAAAATCAATGAAAACAGTCAGAAGGTGAAATAAGGAGAAAACAGGGTTACTCACCGTGGAGTAGTAACTCTTTCCTTTTCTGTGTGCAGCTCCCCCAGCAGAGCTGGGTGGTTTCCTGGAGGTGCCAAGAGAGGTTAGCTAGCCCTGCCCCTCAGCGCATAACAACACATCCTTTCACATATTCACGAATGGTCTCAACTCTTAGACCTTAAGTATGAATTTTTTTTTCCAGTGAAAAGTTAGTAAAAGCTGAGATCCTAAGAATGATTTAACTAAGAATGACTTAACAGATCTATCAAAGGAAAGGGGGCACGAAGTAAAGAAGAAATATTTGCGATGAAAAATGATGACTCCTCTACCTTGAGTAACCCTGTTTTTATAGATGTTAGTTTTTGCATCCTGCGATAGCTGGTTAGACCTAAAAGATTCTAAAGAATGGACTGCAAAAGGAGAAATTAATGACGATTTGAGGATTAAAGGCAAGTGTCCAAAATTCCTATATGACCCTGAAAAGACATAATCCAATTTCCACACCTTTAAAGGCAGAACTATGAGTATAAATTATATCACAGGTATTTCTATGAAATCATTAACTAAAGGTTCCAAGAGCAAAATAGAGAGGTCACATTTTAAGATTAAGTCAGTAACCTTGGTATCTGACAAAACTGTTAAAATTTCAAACTGAACTAAAATAATTTACTCTTAATTACCCTCAAAGGCCCTTATTTCATCCATCCTTTGAAACAGTAAAATTTATAGTATGTACAAGATACTTAGTAAACTAAGGTGAAAGGCCAAAAAGTACAATGTAGATACCATTAGGTATGTAACTAATACTTAGGACAATCAACTCATCTCATCTAAGCTTTTTATTTTTTTTTTCAGTCTCTATAATTACATAGCACAGAAAACTGTTTTTCACATGTGGTAGCTATTTCCCTCAACAATGGGATTTTGAGACCATCCCATATACTCTATCAGGGACTAAGATTTCCTTACAGGAAAATTCAGAACTAAACTTGTCATTTTTTATTGCTGTAATTTGCCAGAAGACCAATACTACTAATATATGTGCAAGACAAACTGAATAAGTGATCTGACAAAAATAATTAAAGCAGCTAGAATATTTTACCTAACTCAGATTTACATAAGAAAAAAATGTAAGGTTAATTTTTTAGAAAAGAACTGAGCTGCTAGGTGCTTCCAAACACTGGTCTGGTATTTCAGAAAATGCATAATGTCCTACAATACCACAGCCAATTACCACAGTCACTCTTGATATTAACAGGAGTGACTTCCTCAGACATCTTAGGCATCACACTAAAACACTGGTCACCGTTATGTGTTTCCTTTTCTCCCCAACTAGGTAACATTTTATTCTATCTCCTTTGGAGTAACTCATGTCCAAAATAAAGAGTTGTTTTCATCTCCTAGTTTCCAATTGACCTGCTACTGATCATCTCCAAGAACTATGCTGCAGATCTTCTTTCTTCACACTAGGCAGTATGATTTAATATCACACAACAATGGCACCATCAACTGACATTATTTGATTAGTTCTTTCAAATCAATTTACACTGAAGAGATTTTAATAATTGACTGTATTAGGATAAGCATTTTAGAAATTTAAAAGGCCAACTTTGTTTTATTATACTTTGGTGAAAACTATCTTACTATCTGCAAAAAAAGGTGAAATGTTATATAAAGTCAATGTAAAAACTCACACATTGCCATAATAAATTAAAATTTTAGACGAAGGTGATTCCAGTTAGCAGTTGGTTTAAAAAAAAAAATTCTTTTACAAACTAATTCAAGCCCAGGGAAGACTTTACAAACTCTCTTTTCTTACAATTCAAAGGCAAAGAAATGCTCATTCATCTTTAACTGTCCTTTGTATAATCATGACCCTGAGCAGGTGTATGTAACTACAAAGAACCCTAAATATGTGTATCGTTCAAGGATTAAAATGATTGAATTTTTCCTTTTTCTTGTTTTATATTTTGTTTCATTACTATGTGCTATTAAATATACAAGAAAACATTTTATATTTATAATCAAAACATTAAAATATATAAACATATTTATATTAACATAATTTTGTATTACTTCATTACATTTTATTATGTTAAATTTTTACTCTAAGTGAAAATTCTAAAACACAACATGTTGAACAAATATTTATTTATTTATTCATGGCTGTGTTGGGTCTCAGTTGTGGCACATGAGCTCTTGGGTGTGGCATAAAGGCTCTCTAGGTAAGAACCATGGGTTCTACAACCCCATAGCATGCGGGATCTCAGTTCCCCAGCCAGGGATGGATCCCATATCCCCTTAACTGGAAGGCAGATTCTTAACCCTTGGATCATCTGGGAAGTACCTAAACACCACACTTTTAAATCTAAATTATCTTTCCTGGAAAAAAAACCTTAAAGGGATATTCATGTCAATTTTATAGCTTATAACGTATAGTAAAGGGAGTCTTAATAAAGTTTTTATAGTTAGGCACTGTTTTCCTTATTGAAAATGCATTTCATTATATACAAATCTAACTAGCTTTGTAATAACCAAATATATGGAACTTTTGTCCTGACGCACATTAGTCGGAGAGGATAAAGACTTTGCTTCAGTTCACTAACATAGAGCACTTGGCTCTATGCTGATATGAACTTCAACAGAAACCTTTAAGCCTCTTGAGCGGACCCTTCAGCAATGCATCCTAACCATCATTCAATACTAAAAAGTCTTCTAATTACATACACAAAAGGTACATGCCTTTGTTCTTTGACAAACTACTGAATTAAAGGACCACACTTCTCAACATGTTTAAGCAGAGTTAAGTTTACTGATATAATCAATTGATGTGTGAAGCAGCTTTTTGGTATGCCTTAGCCTTAAGTTATGTTCTCACTATATTATATACTGTTAAAGAGCATCAGGAAAATGAAAACCATTTCTGTAGGTCTCTCACTTTAAAACAGTGTTTAAAATCTCTTGAAAAAATGAATTTTGGTAAAGTTGCTCTTATATCAAACTATAAAGCTTGATGAAAAACAAAAGTTCTTTAAAAGAATTCAATAAATTTCTAGACAAACTTAAAATTGATTTCCTTACCTGAAATGACCCTACTTCTCCCTCTTAAATCTAATGAGTCATCTAAAAAGTTCAGTGCCTAGAAACAGTTTTTAGATAAGTGAAATGAGTGGGAATTATGAAAAAAGTATGACTCCAAATGACTAATTATTTAGGAAATGGAAAGACAAGCAAGCCATTTTAAAACCACTCCTTGAAGATTCTTGTTGCAAAATCAACAAATAATTCTCCCCTTGTGTTCTTCTGAGAGAGCAAGGGTTCCTTCCTTATTTTTGTGTGATTTTCAGTAACTTTCTCAGCCATGAGATACTGAAGTTCAGAGAAAATGATCTAAGCCGGGATGCTGAGACTAGCATCTACATACTTGGTGAGTGACCTACAAGTCGGATATTGCTGATTTCATTTTAATTTTTTCAACTTAAATGGTAGTACTGACAATGGACTAAATCAAGGCATTCATTCAAAATAATAATACTCTGAAAAGCACTTAAGTTGATAAAAGCAACTTGGTGGGTCTCAAAGGTTTAACATCAATGAAAAATAGAGAACAAATTTTTATTAAAAAAAAACTACCCTAGGTTTTTTGCTACAAAATCCTTACCAGTGATAGACCAAAAAAAAAAAAAAAGTGCTTTTCTTTCTTTTTAAAAAGAATTTATCTCAATTAACTCAGTAACCTAACAGACTTAATAGCTGTAAGCTGATATTTTACAACTGATTATCACTGGAAGTTATTCGATCCTAGTACCATATGCAAAATCTGAATAAAGCCCTAAAGTTTATAGACCTAAACTATGCCTCAGTTATTTTTAGCCTAACAATGACAAAAAGGTTAAAGTTATACAGAAACAAACCAATAACAGAACCAGTGACTCATTATGCGACTAAGTCTTAAAATATATGCCAAATGGCAAAACAGCAAAATATATAAAATAGTTATCTTTACTTACAAGTTAGTAACCGGCTCTCCTTTCAATGGAGGTAGGAGGTTTCCTGAGCCAATGAGACAGTTGTGGACTATAGTCAGACTCTGCAGAACATCATCTCTACAAGAAATAAAAACCATTTTCATATTTGAGAAGACTCCAAATCTCTATTTAACAAAAAGCCTTGCAGAGTCTAAGGTGAAGTGCAAGAACTTTATCAAGTGGGAATATACAAAGTTAAGCCTTAGAAAGGATGAACATTTTCAGTTTACCCACTTAACAGTATAAGGTAATTAAACAGATATTTACTGATAGTATCAGACCTACTTACATTTAAATAATCTAAATAATCACAAGTAACAACTGACTGCCCTTTGTGAAGCAACTCTGAATCTAATTCCCTGTTTATCCAAAGATCACAACCACTAACAAAAGGGAACATTATTACAGAAGACTCCCTACTACAGTCTATCTTTTAAAATGGATGGAGTAGGGCACAGCAAGCTACTCCAGTGTTCCTGCCTGAAGAATCCCCACGGACAGAGAAGCCTGGAGGGCTACAGTCCATGGGGTTGCAGAGTTAGACATGACTGAAGTGACTTAGCAAAGGGACTGCTCTGGCGGTCCAGTGGTTAGGACACGGCACTTTCACTGCCGAGGGCTCAGGTTCAATTCCTGGTCAGGGAATCAAGATCCCACAAGCCATACAGCCTGGCCAAAATTTTAAAACAGACTAGGTAAACATTTATTCCAAAAAGCAGTTCAGAGTAACACACAGCTGACATAAGTCAATCATACTTCTTCCTCTTCCAAGCCCATTCCTAGTGGATTTGCTTATTAAAAATTTCCTGTTATTTGATACATACTAATTTTCTTACTATATAGAAAGTAGTCTCAAAGAACTGTTTCCTGTTAAAGCTCTTTGGGACAGGAAAAAAAAATCTTAGGGATATTTCTCTAGGTAATAGTAATAACAAAATATGAATTACTAAAATGAAATGAGCCAGTAAAAGCTACAGTGAATCCTGAAAAACAGGCATTTCCTTACAAAGCAGGCATATTTATACACACTTCCCAAAATATGCACAAGTGAAAATGCTAAGCAGAAGGCACTAAAAGCAAACTAGAAAAAACGCCGAGTTTTCCTATTTCAGATGTTTAATTATGAGAAACTTTCTGTTGCTAAACTATAAACCATTTTAAATGATTTCCTAATCACATTTATGGGAGGCATCCAAAACACACCTTGAAAATGAATACATTTGATATGCCACAGAGAGAGGGAGGGTGTGAAAAGAATGTTTTAGTCCACAACTATACACCATTAACCGATTATAAAAGAAAACTAACCTAGACATTTCGAGTTCTCCATCCCCGCAATGCTGGAGTTTGCTGAGCTCAGGCTGGAGGAAAGAGTCCAACAGATAGAAGGCGAAAGCCACCTCTTCAGAAGAAGGAACATGCCACTGGATCCCCAAATTCCACAAGTCCCCTGGTTTACCCCAGTCCTACAAGACAGCATTTAACCAGCAATTTGAGAAGTTGGGGGGAGGGGAAAAACACACACACACACACACATAATTTAAAAGGCTTAAAAGAAAATGTATAAGTAAACCAAACCTAAGGCAACAAATGCACACCAAAAAAACATCAGACATCACATGATTCCTTCATTATCATTCCTAAAAAAGGTCTCCCTGAAGAGCCGCTCAAATATAAGTTTACTGAAATAGTAACAGTAAGTTTATGTGAGGCTTTTATTGCACTCTGCTCTCAAGTTACATCACACTTTTCAAGTTTAAAACATTTCAATAATAGTTTTAATAATCTATGTTAAAAATAAAGAAGTTACCAAAAAAAAGGCAACACTTTTGTACACACAGGGGAAAATCCCACACTTTGAATTTTTCTAAGAAAAATAACCCAATATATCCTGGAATCCTAGATTATTGAAAATGCTTGCCTTGATAGGAAAGTATTCAGAAGGAGGCTTGTCAAAGCCGCCTGGCACACTGCAGTACTCGGTAGGGTAGATAAGTGTAGTAGAACGAAGGAGGTGATGCAAAAGGTTACAAGACAGAGTGTAACCCTGCTTACAGGTTAAATGTAGGGTTCTTTGGAGAATCTTTACAAGCTGCTCCCTATAAAGAAGCAACTTCTTCCCATCCACTCGAGTAATCTAGGAAGAAAACATTTGAAGATATTTTATTTAGAAGATCAGGAATCAATATTTAAAGTCTATGTTTGGATACTAAAGTTGTCTAAAATAGTAACAATGTTTCTTAAAATGGCTTTAATTCATTTTAAGATTGTTATTTTAATTATATTCTAACAATGAATCTTTCTTAACATCAAAAACACATTTTCTGTGTTTAGGCTCTTAAGTGCCACAGTAACATCCTTTTCAAGACTGTACCTCCTGAAGGAGACAAAACTTAATTGAATTTCTCTGTCCTTTGGTTCCTGAACTAAACTGTACAGGAAACTGAAGTTTGATTGATGGCCAAATTTAAAATATGGGGAAGGGGAAGATGCTAAATCTGATAAACTTATCAATTAATGAGTTATCCACATTAGAATTAAAAACATTAGGCATGAAGTAGTCAACCATTATCATACCCTTTCAAAACAAGAAAACGGCATTATCTGCTTTTTGTAGTCAGATCCAAATCTTTCTAACTTTACAAGTTTGGAAGTCCATTTTTCAAAAACAGAGGATACATCCTCAGAGCAACTCAACATTTTCACAGAAATATTTTCTCATTCCACAGATTTACAATACCTCAGACAAAAGTTGAAGATTCCATAGTAACTCCTTATCTAGCTCTTCGTCATTTAATACATCATCATCTAAAAATAGCAAAATAGTATCAGTGGGGGAAAAAAACAACATCCAACGAAATCCATCATTTAAAAATATTTGTATTTAATACTTCTAATAGCTGAGAAAAGTCTGTTTTAGGATGCTTTTCATTCTTTCGTTGTTAAGCTGGGCTTGCTCCAGCGGAGGTGGAAACTCAATTTTCAGAAGATAAACACACCAACCAGGACTCCTGCCCGTTCACATCTCACAAAATACCTTTTATTTTTTACAGCAACCTCTGAATGGTTCTTGTATGTATGAAATTTTAATAGAGTAAAATTTCTAAGCTATCTGTCAATCTGGATGATAACCTTGTTTTAAGCAATTTCACCCCAAACTGCAAAATTAAAACACCACACAGCTTAAAGAATCTGTTTTCATCAGTACAGTTGTAGAAATCGAGAAAAACTTCCAAAATCACAAATATAGATAATAACCTTAAGACTTACTCATTGTAAGCTGAGTTATAACACTGCAGCAGTGGGGAACAAATAGCTTCAAAGATTCCTCTGGGCAGCACTGAAAACATATTTGTTTGTATAAGTTAAGTTTTTTGAGAGGCACAAATATTTAACAGTCACAAGCACACATTAGCACTATTTTCAGAGGCAAATAAGGGCTGTAAGCAGCTATGAAAGAAATAGGTGTATTTTAAGAATGACAAGCATGTCTAAAATAATTAACCACATAAAACTGTTGGCTATTGATTCATTACTTCATCGGTCCAAAAAACCCCAACTCACCTTGACTGCAGCACGGCACATGTCTGCCACCATGCGTCCTGCAACTCTTGTTTCAAATATATGTGAAATAGAAAAATTAAAAACCTTCTGAAGGGCCACCTATTAAAAGATAACATAAAAATGAAAATGTCTAACTAGCATTTTAAAAAAAATGAAACATCTTTTTAAACACAAAATAAAATGTGACTCAGATTATACTAAAAAAATAATCAAGTAGGAAAAATTTAACCACCTAAATACATAAAAATTTGTTTAATAATATTACATTCAGGTCTATGAACAGCCTTTGCACAAGATCCTATTGTGACCAAAACATTTGAGGCACAAGATTTTATCTGCTATAGAAATGCTGAACACAAAACTAAAGCTGCTGGAAGCAAATGCAACTTAATTATCTTGCTGGTCAATTTAAAACAGGGAATCTTGAGGAGTATCTAATACTTACAGTTTGTTATTTGGACAACTACAAACTATTTCTCTCTCCTCTAAATGATGTGAAGCATCTACTTAATTTTATAGTTAGATAATTTTAATTACTGAATGAAGGAATTAGCTCTAGACATGGATTGACAAGGCTGAAAGTTATAAACAACTCCTTTCAGAAGATTCTGGTTAAATAAGAGATTATTTATGTTAACTTCTTTATACTAACATAATCTTAGCAAATATCTCATGCAGCTGTAAGGCAGTTTAGCTTTTAACAAGGATAAACACTGCATAATGATAATCTCAGATGGAGAAAGAAGAAACACAAACAGAAACAAAGTAAAGGCATATAAAGTTCCTTCACAATCAACTCTTGTTATGTGTAGTAGTTATGCTCTACAAAATTGCTGTGGGCACTGAATTAGCAAATATTGAACCAAAGTTCTTAGGGGAAATACAGGATTAAGTTCCCATAAGCCTCTCATTACATTTTCATCAACTGATGGATACATATTTTTATGTTTCTGTTTGAAGATATCTTTTTTTAATATTTTGGCCATACCACACAGCATGTGGGATCTTAGTTGCCCACTGGAGACTGAACCCATGCCCCATGTAGTGGAAGCATGGAGTTGTAACTACTGGACTGCCAGGGAATTCCTCATTTTTTTCAAATTTTAATATGGAAAGAAAGAAGTTGGTATGATATACACATGAGTAACCTGAAGTTCAATTTTTAAAACATCAAATAAAACCACAAGTTGGAATTTAGCTCTTTGCAGCAATGCACTCTTACCATAAATATTTCTTTGGAACATTGTGTGAGGATTGTACTAAACGTAGAAGACAGACCTAATTCGACCAAACTCTCCAAGTGAGTCATTTTCTCAGTCTCTGTCTCTTCTCTTGTTTGCTCCAATGTGCTACTTTCTATGAGGCCAAAGCATCTAAATAACCCAAAGAAAATAAAATTTTAGCAACTAAAACCTGGCTTAATATTTTTGGTTGATTTGATTAAATAAATCTCTATTGTCAAGACAATGCATATGATATGCATTTCATTTGAACACGGCTCACAAATCAATTGTCCCTCTGTAACCTCAGAAGAAGCACCATCCTTGCATAGTAATTAAATACAGGCTGCAATGCAGAGCGAGGCTAAATTTTGCTAAGACAGGACATTGTTATTTTTTAATATCTATCAGACATTAAACAGACCTGAGGTACTTGCTTACCTGTCCATAAACTGTAAGACAAAATCCTCAAATTCAGCTGTGGCAGAACAAAGTTCTCGTTCTACCTGTAACATGTCAATGTGCAGAAAATTTTCAAATAGGCTTTCATTCTTTCCCCTGAACAAAACTCAACTATAGTCTACAAAATACATCTAATACTACATTATTACACTGAGCACTGTGAGAAACAGCACCAAATTCCCCTATCAATTTAGAATAATTCATCCACTTCCCAGGAACCAAAATAAGTAGTAATTAACATTTTGTAAGGGCCAAAAAACAGAAGTTCAGGCAGCCATATTTTAAAAATCAGTAACAGTTTTCAAACTGCTTGTGTATGTATAAAGGATTATCTCACTAGTTAGCCATCTAAATGCCAAAAGTAAGGTAATAACATACATGTCATAAAGAAAATAGTTCTGAAAAAACCAGACAGTAATGATGCCAATTTCCTCAATAGATTTATTCCTAACATAAAATGGAAAAACAAAATGCCATCACTTTTTGCTTAACAAAGCAAAAAGCTGAAATACATCTTTTCATTTCAGTTGTTTACTGGAACAGCCTATTTCTCACCTTTGGTGAGATGCTCTGCAGACTATCTTACCAGTGATGGCCTGGCCCTCCATTCATATCATTCTAGTCACAAAACAGTAATTTTAATTTGTCAGCACCTCTGCAAAGCTGCTGTTAAACTTTCAAATATTACTATTCATATACAGTAGGAATTAGAACTCAGTTGACCAATCTTTTTAGAGGAAGAAAGCATCCTTACTTCTGTGAGGTCATTTCTTTCCTGCAGTACAGATGAACAATCTACTAAAGGCACCAGAGTGGAAAATGTTGCTATAAATTGGAATGTGATCTATGGAAAGATGCAAAAGAGCAAACATTAATTACATAGAGTTCTAATTCCAAAATACATACATACCATAAGCTACTATCGAGTACCAAAGAGGGAAATAACACAACAATCTTTCTGAAAGCTTTTTGCTTAGAACTGAACATTTTAAGGTTCCTCACAATTAACTAGCTGTTAACTGAGTAATGAAGTTTAACTAAATAATAAATTTTAACTGAATTTATTATCATACAGTTATTTACTAGATTTAAGCACAAAGTTTTCTAACCTTTGGTCACTAAGAAGTTACCTGGCTTCCCACCAAAAATGTAATATTAACTAAGTGTAGATAGAAAATACTAATGGAGAAACTGGAGGCCAGGGAAGAGGGAAGATGCACAATATGGTAAGTCAGGTTTGTATATTAAGGGAATCGAGCATTTCACACCCAGTCATTTTTATCATGCTCCTTGCAACCAGTGCAAAGAGAAGTGCAAATGATCATATGTTATCATTTTTAATGGATCTGCTTACAGAGAATAGGAAATTTAAGCTTTAAAATACTGTATGATCATAAATGCATTCAAGTTACAGGAAATGACTTAACCTAAGGAAAATCTTATATAGATCAACTAAGTGTACATGGATCTAAACTTGGGCATCTACAGGTGTAATTCTGCTACCATTAAGAAATTTTATACTTTACTGTGTTCTAAAGAATATTTGAAGAAAGTAACAGGATATCCATTTACACAATTAAAACTTACATAGAAAACAGAATTACAAATATGCTCACCATGCATTTACTAAAGTCATTCGGATCCACCCCAGGCAATGCTCTCATCAACAGAGGTAGCATGTGTGTTGGACCTTCAGGAAACCACTTGCCCCCTGATACCAAACTGCGGGCTACTCCAATGACACAACTTAAAGTAGCTGTGAGCTGGTGAGGTTCTGTTAAAGTCTCTAGTGCAGGATATGTTCTGCAGTTTGAAAACACAATTTAAAAAATTTTTCCATGACAGATAAACATATGTAACACATTAAACAGTTTACTAAATTCATAAACTGCATTTTAGAGTAAAGGTTTGTCCGCTAGCAGAGTATTCTGAATGAATATTTGCTTTCAAGGTTAACAGAATCACAGAAATAAAGGAAAGGTACATGTTTCCCCAATTCTCTGACACCTCACATTTCCTCATGCCAATTGCACAGTGTAAAGAATATTAGCTGGTAGATTTCTGCATTCTTTCAGCATCTTAATCCATTCCCACATTCCAGCAGGACTGCATCTAATCTAATCGTGATTATTAGAAATCAGCAATAACACACAGCTACTCCACTCTTCCCTTTTAAAGGAAAAAACAATCTGACTAAAATGTTCCAGTGTCTCCTGTTTTATACTTTATAAAAGGACTGTGATCTAAAGTTGGAAGTCAGCTCTCAGAAACATAAGAGAATATTCTTGACAGTAGAGTGAATAAAACAGGGGGAATAAGACAGATGCAATCTTTGATCACTAAGTTAGTATTTAAGAACACTCAATGGTTCAGTGATTTCATTTTTGAGACTCTCTCCTACAGGGGGAAAAGTAATCCGAAACACAGTCAGTTTAAATTCTTCTTAACAGAAAAGGTAAATAAATAATAAGGAAATTTCTAAATAAAGTAGGAAAAAAGGAGGATTTCTAACTAGGATTAAAAATATATAACCAAACCTATGTTTATTTTAAAAGATGAATAAAACAAGCCAAAAATGCTTTAGCAGAGGATGTCTTCAGGAGATGTAAAATCAAGTGTCAACGTTTTTTACTTTTTAAAAGACTTTCACTTGGAGATTCCCTAGCAGTCCAGTGGTAGGACTCAATACTCTCACTGCCTTGGCGGCCCAGATTCAATCTCTGGTTAGGAAACGAAGATCCCATAAAGCACATGGTGTGGTTAAAAAAAGAAAAAAAAAAACAACTTTGTTTTTCTAAAAGAGAAAAAACAAGTCTACAAAAAATGGTAGCCAAGCCACTTCTAAACAGGACAAAATTAAAACTGAATCTCAAAAAGTATCATTGTACTGTCAATTTTGTCAATTTAGCATCTTGATTAAGATCACATATGATGCTGGCATTAAATTTGTCCAAAAATTAACTACTAAAGAAAAACATGACAGATAAATCGTATTTGTATTTATCAACTTTGTTCCTTCAACTAAAAGTTTATCTCGCCAGTCAAAATTCACCACCTGGAAAACAATGAAATAAGGCAAAACAAAAGGAAACACCTGAGAGTTCAAATTTTAATTCTGCGAACAGCTGAAGTCGTCCCTTGAGGCAGATCTCTCCTATCCAGAGAAAATCAAGGGACCCGCCACTGACTGACAGCTCCTGCTACCACCTGGAGCCCAAGCGGCAATCAAGAGTGAAGGCCGAAGACAAAGTAGCAACTGCCTAACTTTCACATTCCGTTAAGCTGGACATGCTGCAAGTTTCAGTGCCCTAAGACATGTACACAAAAAGGGGAGGTTGGAATAGTGATGGCACAGGGGGAATAGCACAAGCAACTCCAATTACAAATAATGGAGCCTTATTTTGGTACCCTTCACCAAGTAAACAAATGTTACCAATTTTCCTCTCTCAACAGTGAGTCAGAAAACAGGCTGTCATCTGCATGCTGCCAGTAAGGACCTTGGACAAATCTGAGTTGGAGGAAACTCAAGCCGTTAAGATTCCCCTGGGCTCCAAAATCTAACATTCTTCTTCCGCTTTTAACAAAGCCATTTAGAGAAGAATCCTAAACCTGAAGTTCAGGCAGCAAAGAATGAATAAAAGAAAGCTTAAGCAATCTGCTCATGAACACTCAAGACCACTGAGAGTGGCTCTCTCCTGTGAAGCACACCAAGTTTGTATTATGACAGCAACAAGGCAAATGGAGAACTATTTTTGTTACTATTCCAACATACAAAACAAAATGAATACAATGAAATCGACACAGTAGAAATAATTCACACAAGGTTATATATACAATATATGCAAACAATAAAGCTGAACAAATTTTCTTCTCTATCACTGACCCTAAGAAGCAGACATCCAGAATTATTGTCACTGCCATGCTCTTAATATTTAGTGACACTCACATTTTGTGAAACAAAACAGCCAGAGGTTTATTTATGAGCAAAAACTTCAATAACTAAAATGAGCACATAAGTCAAAATATTTTATTCATTTCATGTCAATTTTCTTTTTCTGGTCAATATATCTTTATCAAGTTACCAATCATTAGGTTAAAATATCTTGTTTCCCCTCTAGGAACAGGAGTAAGTACCGAGATAGCAAAACAAGCCACAGAAAAGAAAGCCACGCAGAAGAGTAGAAGAGATAGATAACCAGAGTAACAGTGGACACAGCTGGGGTTTCAAGGAAACATGTGAAGCTACACTTACCTTTCAAGTACAGGGGGTATTACTAACTCCGGTCTCATGAGTGCAAGGTTCTGCAGAGCCTGGGCTGCTTCTAAACTACCAGTTTTGCTAAACATAGCCAAGAGGACAGGCTGAATAATGCATTGTACAAAGTCTGTAACATCTTGATCTGTAAGCTTATGGCTATCAGGCACAGGAGTTAACCAAGAAGGTTTCTTGTATCTTTCACGATGTAATCTTCTAACAACACTGTTTGGCAACCGCTGAAGCAGTTTCATTAACTTGTTCTGGGGACACAGAAGCAGAAGGTCCTAGGTAGTTTGTCGTTCTCACAGAGATACTCACAGTTCCTCTCTACTATCCCAAGTAAAAACTTTTCAAACAACTGCTTGTCTAATAATTTTTAAATACAACCTATTTTTTTATTTTTTTAATTTTATTGAAGTATAGTTGATTTATAAAGCTATTAATTTCTGCTGTACAGCTAAGTGACTCAGCTATACACATATTTTTTCATATTCTTTTCCTTTATGGTTTATCACAGGACACTAAATATAGTCACCTGTGCTACACTAGGACCCTGTTGTTAACAGTTTGCATAATCTTATTACAAAGGACCTGTATCGCCTAATTAGGTAGAATAAATACTCTTACCAATTTATCATCGATAATAATAAACACTTTCAAAATTCAGTTTTAATTTCTAGCATCACATGAGTCTTTCATTACTTGAAAAGCCATTTTAACCCAGCAACTTAAAAAAAAGCATACACACAATAAAACCGAAAAGACGATTCCATTGTTTTGTGGCATTTTGCCACCAGTTACTAGTATTTATTTCTATATGTGCTATAAACACAGTAACTTAATGTGAACATAATCATGCTCACACAGGGAAAGCTTAGTTGAGCGACAGAAAATGTACACAATAGGCAATAGTCACATGTGACTATATCTTAAAAAAGAAATTCCAAACTGTAAGAGTAAAATATGAACATTACTCACCAGCCAGCGGCCATTATTTGAAGGATGGTAAAAAGATGTGATGCTGTTAAACAAACCAGCCAAATGCTTTTGCACTAACTTACTTGGTCCACCCTGTTCAGATAAAAGCAGAAATATTAGTACCCATGTAATTATGTAAAATTGAAGGGGTTAACAGGCCCAGGCCTATATACAAATCACTGAAGTGGCTCACATTCATCCTGCTGGCAAAAACCAGTTCTACCTCTGAATCAAAGTCAGAAACAATTCCCAGATGAATTTCATACAAATCAATTCAAGACAGTCTATTAAAAAGAAGGGCAACTTACTGAAATCGAATCATAAAATAGAAAAGATATTTTTCAATTCAGAGTTAACAGTATCTTTTACTGTTTACAGTTAAATAACTTTTTCCACTAAGGTATTCATCTTAAAATAACCAAGTATGCCACATTAAGCATAAAAAGCATTCCTTAAATGACTGAAGAACTGAAGAATTTCTCATTGCAGGAAATAAAGATTAACATAAATACATTCACATATTTATTAGTACTTCTAAATGTTTCAAGTGATTAAACTTGTTATATTTGACCATATTTTGACCCAGAAGAAAAATTTTTTTTTCTTAATCTATTACCAAAACAAACACACAAAACAAACAACAATATAACCAGGGTTGCAGGGGGAGGGGGAAAGGCGGAAAAGGCTAGCATTCACCTTATCAAGTTGAACAACCCTGGGAACATAGGACTAAAATATAATAATAAAGGCCTTGAAACTATCTGTTTCAAGATGATCTTTTTCAAGAAACAGCACAGATTCATAATGTATGCAAATATCAAGTCACTGTGTCACATACTCAAAAACTAACATAGTTAGTTTTCATCAACTATATTTCAATTTAAATAAGAATCAGCACAGTCCTAAAGTAGACTATCCAGTTACACCAGGAACATGTCTTTCTGCTGAAATGAAATCCACACTCGTATTTCCCAATTTAGAGCAAACTATTGAGACCATAATTCCACTGCAAAATACCAAGAAAATTTTCAAACTTCTGACAGTAATAAGCATTGTTAATTTTTAATTATAGTAAATATTCATACTTAACACAAAATGAAGCTGCCAATATAAACAAGTGTGAGCAACAGTAACTAAAATGAGCCTGATACCAATCACTATCTAATCCTGTGGCCCCTAAAGCCGAAGTTCCAACTCATGACTTAAAAAAGATAGTAAATATCCAAATGTTTTTGCTCTTATTGAATATTGGAAAGAAAATGGGATTTCCCCTCTGTTTAATATTAAAATAACAACCAAAAAAGAAAAGCTTGAAAGTTTCTTTTCTTTTAATCTTACAATGAAATTTACTATCTAAGCTTCTGGGTTTCCCTGGTGGCTCAGTGGTAAAGAATCTGCCTGCCAATGCAGAAAATACAGGTTCGATCCCAGATCTGGGAAGACCCCATATGATCTGGAGCAATTAAGCCCATGTGCCACAACTCTTTAGCCTGTGCTCTAAAGTCCGGGAGCCACAATTACTGCAGCCCAAAGCGCCCTAAAATCTATGCCCCGCAACAAGAGAAGCCGCCAAGTGAGCAGCCCGTGCCCTGCAGCTGGAGAGTAGCCCCCAGCACAGGCAAAAATAAACATTAAATAATCTAAGAGCTGAACCTCTCAGTCATTCTGTCTTTTCAACAAAAACAGCCAACTAAGCAGTGTAACCAGGGAGAAAATAGCAAACACAGAACAATATCAAGTATCACATGCAGAATAATTCAAAAAGGAGATAACTGCAGATGAATGAAAACTTAGAGAATTATGGTATAAAAGTTTTCTAATACTCTTATTTGAAAGATGACATCAAAATACAAATATATAGACGGTAGTTTTACTTCTCTTCAATGATGTCGGAAAAATAATCCTTTATGCTTCTCTCCCTTCACTAAGATTACTTTGTCAACAAACTTTGTGTTCAGTGTAATGTTTTATGTGAACACTGACAATAAATGCATTAATACTGAGCATATGCCCAACTCTGCTTTCAAATCTCACCTTTATCAATTTGACTTGGGAAAGTTCTTTCACCCATGACTCTGGTTCTCAGTCTGTAAAACTATTACATTCTAAATCTCTTGAAACTCTAACTGTCCCCCTACTTAAGAGTATAACTGACCTACAACACTGTTAGTTCTAGTACATAACATAGTGATTTGATATTTCTATACATTACAAAATGATCATTATAATCAAAATTCTGAACTTCTGACCCTTACTTTAAAGGTCCATTATTTAAGGAGATTTATAAATGGTACATTATGACTACATTCTGAGTCTGAGAAACACAAGTTTACTGCATCAGAAAATATCCAAGAATCAAATGACCAACTAAGCCACTAATTTAGACTTAGGCGATTATGCAGAATTTCTGTATAGTTAACCCAAGATTTATAGGAACTATATAAAACAAACATAATGTACTACAAACCATCATGGCAGTGATCCATATTACAGCATGTCCTATGTCATAAGCATTTGTTAAAAATCTTGGAACTAACACCTGACTGCTTCCCACTGGGAGGTTCAAGCTTCTCAGAATTCTTGTAAATACCTTTAAAAAGAAAAAAGAATTAAGGATAACCATTGACAGATGTAGGAAAAGGAGTACATCAAGGCTGTATATTGTCACCATGCTTATTTAACTTATATGCAGAGTATATCATGAGAAACGCTGGGCTGGAAGAAGCACAAGCTGGAATCAAGATTGCCAGGAGAAATATCAATAACCTCAGATATGCAGATGACACCACCCTTATGGCAGAAAGCAAAGAAGAACTAAAGAGCCTCTTGATGAAAGTGAAAGAGGAGAGTGAAAAAGTTGGCTTAAAGCTCAACATTCAGAAAACTAAGATCATGGCATCTGGTCCCATCACCTCATGGGAAATAGAGGGGGAGACAGTGGAAACAGTGTCAGACTTTATTTTTTTGGGCTCCAAAATCACTGCGGATGGGACTGCAGCCATGAAATTAAAAGATGCTTACTCCTTAGAAGGAAAGTTATGACCAGTCTAGATAGCATATTAAAAAGCAGAGACATTACTTTGCCAACAAAGGTCCGTCTGGTCAAGGCTATGGTTTTTCCAGTGGTCATGTATGGATATGAGAGTTGGACTGTGAAGAAAGCTGAGTGCCAAAAAATTGATGCTTTTGAACTGTGGTGCTGGAGAAGACTCTTGAGAGTCCCTTGGATTGCAAGGAGATCCAACCAGTCCATCCTAAAGGAGATCAGTCCTGGATGTTCATTAGAAGGACTGACGCTGAAGCTGAAACTCCAGTACTTTGGCCATCTCATGCGAAGAGTTGACTCACTGGAAAAGACCCTGATGCTGGGAGGGATTGGGGGCAGGAGGAGAAGGGGACGACAGAGGATGAGATGGCTGGATGGCATCACCAACTTGATGGGCATGAGTCTCAGTGAACTCCGGGATTTGGGATGGACAGGGAGGCCTGGCGTGCTGTGATTCATGGGGTCGCAAAGAGTCGGACATGACTGAGCGACTGAACTGAACTGATTGACAGATAGCAAGTAACTCGTTCATTAAATAACCTATGTGTTATATATTGGTGTTACGGTATATATTCTCATTTGATTGGTTTTTATGACATACTGTTTTGCAATCTGCTTTATTCCTTAGGAATTCATATAAATAATTTCATACCTTTTTAAAATGATACTCTGAGGTCACAGGCATGAAGTTATGAAGCACTCATATTCAGGTACCCCAAAACAGGCCAGTGGCACATAGTTAATCATAAAAAGGCAAACAGTAGGTAACTGTAGTTCAATGTGAAATATTTTGACTACTTTTTGCCTCTCTAAATGCACACAAAATTATTCTTCCTATGCTTTCATTCCAAGCCAAGGATGCACAAAACAAATATTTTCTAGCTGATTTCTCTACCTCTTAAAATTTTAAGACTTGATTTCCCCCTAAGAATCTGCATTTTAATCAGCCATGCAATATATTACTACAATTAGATTTATATTTAAAACATAATTAAATGTCAAGTATGGGGGCTAAAGGTGGGAGAAATTTACTTCGCCATCTCAGTTTCTACTGGCTGGCAACAGAGGAAGGCAGGACAAACAAAGGCAATCAGAGCATTTGCCTTCCGCTGCTCCCCAGCCCTGCTCTAGTCAGCGCGTGCATCAGAACAAATCACAGCCCGACCACAGTCCTCCTGAAGCTCCACAGGTGATTCTCCTGCATGGTAAACAAAACCCAAGATGCAACACACCTAGAGACATTTTCCAGCTTTATTTACTCTAGGAAAGTATACAGTGTGATTTTAAAAGTGGAGAATACTCTAGAAGAACTAACAATACAGTACAAAAAGTTCACTGGAAAGGATCAATGTTATGACACCTTGAATAATATTCTTAGTACTTTATAAATTACTCACTCTGAAACTTAAAGAGTTCATGCCCTGCACCGGTAAGACAAAAAAAATCAAACATTTATGATAGCTTGATATGATCCAATTACTTTCTGAAAATAAATGACCCATCCTTATAAATTACTTATGTTTTTACTAACAGTCAAAAAATACTTTCTGTGGTGCTAGAAATCAGCAACCACACACATTTCTCCTTAAAAATATAAAGATGATGTCAGTGCTACCGTGTTTGTTCAAATGTTCTTAATTACCTTTGGTACATATGGATCCCAATCTATGTATCCTATATTATCTGTAGCCAATCGAGCAAAGAGATTTACTAGTTGCTGAAAGTAAACAAAAAAGAAAGACAGTTAAGTAAATACATTTGTTGTTTTTAGGGGTCACAGTCACACCCTTTATCCATTTGTTCTTTTCAGAACAATCATTACTGGCACAACTGAATTTAATATTTATATCTCAGTCTTTTCAAATCTCCAAATTTAGGTCCTAATTCTCATTACCCATATAAAATCAAATGCAGTTGAAATGCTTATTTTTAAAAAAAGGAGATGACAAAGCATCATCCACAGTGCAAACAGATAAAGCAGTTTTTAATCAAATACACGCAGAAAACACCCACCAGGGGTCCAGCACCACACAAACGGGGGGTACAACAGGGCCTTCCTCTTCATGTGTTTCACAGTACATGCATACACTTCCAGAGAGTGGTAAAACCAAAATAAAGAAATATCTAGTTCTCTTAGAATACAGCAAATACAATTTTAAAAAACTGATTACAACATCGCTAATAGTGAATTTTAAGGAAATGAGAAGGGGACAACAAAGGATGAGATGGTTGGGCAGCATCACCAACTTGATGGACATGAGCCTGAGGAAGCTCTAGGAGTTGGTGATGGACAGAGAGGCCCGGCATGCTGCAGTCCATGGGGTTGCAGAATCAGACACGACGGAGCGACTAAACTGAACTGAAGGAACTGAAGTTACTTATCAAATGATCTGATAGTTACTTCCAAACTAAAATGCATATAGGAAAAAAATGAGATACTCACCCCCTCCCACTGTGGGAGATTTTGCACTGAAACCCAAAGGCCAATTAATTCATCAAACCAAAGTCTGAAGAAGAAAAACGTTAAGAATAGCAAGTGATTTACAGAAAGTGGTTTAATGCCAGATATCCTTTGTATTTTTTTAATCTACTATTCTTATTGATAACTACACAACCTAGAAAAAATTAACACTGAAAGTTACAAACTTAATGGAACAAAAGATTACTTTTATCTGAATATTCCCTTTTCAATTTATTTAAGCTAAAAGGAATAACCTCATCAAATTTCTACTTCATTGCTAAATAACTGTCTATCCCTATCTAGAAGCTTCTCCTTCCTCTCCATGCCCTTCTCCTTGAATGCTTTCCTTTTACTACCTGTTCCTGCAACTCTCCCTTAGTCTCTTTACTTTAATAGGCCAACCAGTAATTACACCATTAACTAGCACTACAGTAATAGTTTCATAAAAGAAATGAGCCACAAAGTGTTAGGAGCAATTAAAGTGGGAAAAAATATCTCAAAGTAAAGAAAGTGAAGAGAATACAGGGGCAAAAACACACTTGAGTATTAACCAATTTTCACAAATGTCAAAGAAATTAAGTTTTTAGAAGTTTGTAATTAAAACCAAAATTTCATAAATGTATATAGCCAGATACAAAATTTCTGACAGAAACTTGACAGATATAAAAGATGTGACATCTCACTATGGAAAACATGCTGGGAGAGATGGTGGGAGGGCTAAGCATAATAATCCTCCCACCCATAATACAGTGATACGTGCTATTATCCTTCTAGTTTTTTTTTCACACCTGTTACTTTTTTCATAAAGGTACAATCCAAGTATTTTTCATTCTAGGGTTTATTATATACCTGCAGTTAGAGAGAGACTCAAGAAAAACTATACTACATGATGAGGGTTAAAATCGAGGTTTAGAAAAACATTTTTCCCTTCCCTAAACTCTATGCAATGTAACATTTCCATCACTGCCTATTTATTGAAATTTTCAGTTCCTTTGTGCAGTTATCATTCTTTCTCTCCCAATATCTTTTTAAAGCCCACATCTTATGTGGCTTGATATATAAGTGCCTTATTTTCTCTTTATCTGCAAAATGATATTTAACTATTTTAGCTTTCACACACACTTCAAGTGTAAGAAACATAATGCTTGAGTTGGTAATTTCTTTTTTACTTATTACTGTACTAGTCTGCCTACAAATGTACATATATGCATTCCCTACTGTATTCTAGAATCTATCAATACAGAAACACACACACACACACACACATATATACTTACTTAAAACCTTTATGATGAAGTTCTGGAGGAAGGGAGGTAGGAAGAAATATTTCAAAATAAGTGATGGCCTTTTGCATTGTTACATCAAAAGGACACATTAAAGGCCGCCATTCTTCTAGCATCTCAGCTGTGGCATCTGCTGGAAAATACCTAATAAAAAAGAAAGTTTTCATGTATCTGATCATTGACTAAAAGCTCTACATCATTATATGACTGACAAAAAGGGGAAGAAGGGGAATGTACTCATAAGATAATATCACACACTACCAATGTCAAGTTAGCTGGCAAGAAACACACATTTTTCCAATTCTAAAATAAACAGCCTGTCACATTTAGGTTACATAAGGTAAATTTTCTTCTTGTCTTTGGACCTGGAAAAATGCTATAAAGCTGATAAATCTCAGATAAAATACAGAGTCATTCAAATCACCTACAAACTTAAAACATGATTGCTGTTATTTTTTTCTTCCTGTGTGCTGTATAATAGCAATAGAAAAAAGGGAAAAAAAAAAAAATCCTGTCACAGGGAACCCAGTCTATATAAGAAACAGATAATCAGCAAAGTGAGAAAGAGAATCAGCCCAGGAACTTCTTGTCACCTTAGGAACAGACCATTTACTCTCACTAGACTCTGAGTTCTGCTGTGTACAAGAAACAACTGAGCTAGATGATCTGGTCCTACAGGCTCTAACATTCTAAAACCCTAAGATATGGGCAGGAGCATCCCTGGGGCACAGAAGATTCAGAAAAATAAAAGCGGAAGTGTATAGACAAACACAAAATGAAGACAAGCGGATAATGAGGACCCATTATCCATTTGGGTATGGAATGGATACCCAAATGGGGAGGCAACTGGGGTTTAAAATAATGACAAGCATATTAAAATTTCTGATGTGAATATGGGTGAAAAAAAGGAAACCCTTTCAAATACACTTGGAGGTTTGGCCTATACCTTAATCTTATTATAACTTTATATCTCTGTGTTACTAGAATCACACTTCATTGTCTATCTTCAAAGATCTTACAAACTGAATCCTCTTCCTAATTTTTCATAGTCAACTGTCAGCCATGTAACTCAGAATAAAAGCTTGGCACTCTACAAATTATCTAAGAACCTAAAAACCAGTAAATACCTCAGTGATGATCAAAGTTCACAAAATGACAATGCTAACTAGTAGCTTATCGAATAACTTAGGTTACTTCTTAAGCTTCTTAAAAAGGAGACATTCTAGATCTTAAAAATACATTTGTCCAAGACTGAGTAGTATAGTAGGTCAGCCACAATATCTGATCTACAAACTAATTTCAACTCTTATAATAAGCACATGATAAATATACAAATTTCCATTCAAAAGAATTCACTGCATTCATAGTAGAAGTATGTCTTAGAACAGCCTGATAAGAATGAAAAAATAGTTTAAGACCATACATCTAGACTTTAACTAAATTCTATCCACATTTATCTTTAAACATCAGAATATGGGATATTCAAAGTCAAACATTCTACTGAAATGGGGGGGAAACTTATGGGCCACCTTCTTATTATTCTGAAATTGGGGGGAACGTATGGGCCACCTTCTTATTATTCATTTTTATTTAATACCTACAAGGCTCATTTTGGAAAATAATTTTGACTTGAGTAACAATACTCTAGGGATATCTTTAAAATGAAGCCAGTTATACACACATTATTGCATTCTTACTTTCTAATGGGTGACTGACACCCACACCACTTAAACATTTCTAAATTTATAAATGAAATCTGAAAAGTTCAGTTCAAGAGTTGGAAATAATATTGCGCTCAGTGACTAACATCACAACGTCAGACACTATTTATATCCTTAATTTCCTTTTCAAGGCATACTAAAGATTGGGTAAAGTCCACAGAAACAATAAGAGGATTTATAAATTGAGAAGCTACTTACGGTCGGCAGCTCTTCACGAGTGTTTTGAGAACATTTTCTACAGAACTGGGGGGAAAAAGCCATTTGGTAAATTAGGTTGGTATATTTTAAGAACAGATATAATTCAATTAATAAATATCTCTAAGATACACAGTTAGATATTATCTGTGTACACACAATAACTAATCCTTCTCTTTCATACACATAAAAGTCTAATGATTACCTAAATGCTGTAATCTACTCTTTCCTTTGTCTTCATTTTGTTCATTCTATACAAGGAACAAAAGGGAAGAAAACTGGAAAAAGCGCAAATCATCTTCAATCTTTACAAAGTGGGCAGCAATGACCATACTTCTCAACACATCAAGAAGTATGTTCAGAGGCTTCAAAGAAACAGCAAAGTCTAGAGTGCTTCTATCAGCAACTGCTGGAGACTAGTTTTCTGTATCCTACTGGTGAGAGTTTTACAACCCTCCAAGGCACTTTATTGCCAGGAACAATTATCAAAATAACAACAGCCACCTTTTTGGCCAGCTACTTAAAAAGTTAGCTGATGAATATTAAAAGCTGTAATTTTCCAACTTGTAGGTGGTTCAAGTGACTTTAGTAAAGCAAAATAAACACTGGTATATGAACTTATAATAAACACTTCTACTTTAATGAAAAGCCTAGTGTGTACTGGTTTAAACACACATCACTAGAATGGAATACTTAAAATATTAACCAGGCCACAGTCAAAAGAGGTCAAATACAAATCAACAAAACAAAGAGTGATTTCAAATTGGAATTTTAAAATAAATGTGTGCCTACTTATAGTATGATGTGTACAAGTAAAAATAAAACTAGTCCCTACATCTCAAGAGAAAAAATTATGGGAGAAAGAGGTAACTTTTAGGCAGTGCTTCCACCTGACACTTTCTCATTAAGCTTCTTGGAATTCTTAAGTCCAGAAGTTTATCCAATGTTTCTGAAAGCTTAAGAACTAATCTTAAATTCTTAAGGAAATTCTAAGGAATAATGCAAATCAAACTCAGCACAAGTAATCAATGTAGTATATAACCAAGAAAGAAAACTATTAACTTCATTACTTGAAGCAGTAAGAATCCTCTTTAATTTCAAAAGTATTTAGAACAAAACTAACTGAAGAGGAAACTGGGCTACAACTCACGAGGTAATTCTAAAATAAAGAAGATGATCACATGGCTAGAGAGCCATCATGGGGCATTTTCTTATTATCAAAGAGAGACATTAACTTCTCTCACAAAAAAAGCTCACCAATTCAGAAACAGAGTTTAACTGAGGGAACAGCTAAGCTTGCCTAGTTGTTTTTGCTTTTTTTTTTTTTTTTTAAAGGTAGCGGGGCGGGGGGGTGGGGGGGGGCGGTAAACTTCTCTCCAACTACATTTACAACTCCCTGAAGACCACAACTATGATTTTTACTCCTGGGCATTTCTGAAGGGCTTATAACAAGGTTGTGTTTATTTACATATATACATATATTACTAATATATTTATGTATTTATTTATTTACAAAGCTCTATAAACCTTTTCTATCAGGGCAACAAAAAAAAAAGCACGCATCTTTGAATCTTCTTTTAGTCTGGACTGAAGACCCCCACTGAGAAACAAATTTTAGAACTCATAGATAAGATGTGAAGGTCCATCAGGTTCCAAACAAAATAAGAGATCAATTTAAATACAGATTTTTAAAAAAGGTAATTCTTAAAAAAAAATTCTAAAATGGTAAACTCATGATCCAAGGAAATAAGCAGATCTATAATTCTACCACTTTCTAATGTCTGTTTTCACGTTAACTTTACATTTATTTTTAACTATTTCTGTGGCAGTATTTAACACAGAAAACCTGCTCTGCTTACTGGTAACTTTTCTATTCTACCAGCAAACTTTTATATAATATCAAAAATGATTTTAGAAAGCCAGTCACAAAAGGCTGCATAGCTATGCTTTCTCCAGTTCCCTTCACGCTTCAGAAGAACAGGTGGTTAATTATAAGACTTGATAGTTGTCACTTCACTCACTAGAGGAATGGGGTGTGTGGGAATATGATTCCGTTCATCTAAATGAAGCCAATTTCAACCCCTTCTTATATATAAGCCTGTGCCATTGCATTTATGCTCTTTATCCAGAAAAGGGTACAATCTCTCTAACCTGTGATATCTGTATAGTGACCTTTTGTGATTCTTGTAATCTCTCAAGATGAAGGGAACAATGTTTCTGTTTAAAAATAAAATAAAAGGTTAAGGCTAGATGCTACTAGATATATTTCACTAATTTTTAGAGGGAGTGAATAATCACTAAAGTTTTCCCAACTGTTGGAAATTTCTAATGTTAAAGTGACAACAATTCTAAACACTTTTTCTTTTTTTTTAATATATCAAAAGGGATCTAACAGAGGAACTAAGCTTTGGGTATGTTTTCTTAAACCCTCTTCTTAGGTTGGAAAGAAAGCCACAGTATATCATGTAATGAATGGTTCACAGCTTGGGCTCAGAGTCAGACAGATTTGAATGTGAACACTTGTCCAACTATTTACTAGGAGAGAAATATTATATAGCCTCATATCTATGTAAGAGCAGTTAATACCTACCTCTCATTAGGCTGTTACAAAATTAAACAAGATAATGTAAAGAAAGCAGTCACCTGGCCCAGAATTAAACACAATAAATGTTAACTATAATTATTTCATATTTAGCCAAAATAAATTATATTTTCAATCTCCTTAAGAACTAAAATATTATATTAATTTTGCTTTTACACTTGTTTTTACTGCCTCTGAGTTATTAATTTATATTTAGGAAATGGCATCAAAATAGGAAAGCCCTCCCCCAACTGCTACCCTATTTATCAGGGCAGAAAGTAAGTTCCTGTCCAAATTCTTGAGTTCTTGCCCCAGTTTCAACAAATGACTCTGTGAACTTTCCTCTTTGGGAAGCAAGTTCCTTATGACTCCGTATGTTAATAAAGTAAATGCCAGATATGTAGCAGAGAAGCCTGAGGAAAGCCAAAAGCCTTGGCCTCCAGTTACTGAGATAGTGGACTTATATAAACCTGGAGGTGTATGCTTCCTACCTCTTTTTCAGAACAATGTTCATGTCTAAATCAAAGAAATGTACAGCAAATGATACAGTCAAGATGAGAGCAGTATGGACTGGCCATGGCCAGAGGAACATTCAGCTTCACTTCACAATTCTTAAGCTAAAAATTAACTTCAGAGTAATCAGACCAGCTTTTCTATAAATGAACTAGGAAACTGTAACCCTGGTATATTCTACATACCTCTCCTTCAACCTCCCTGTAACTTAATACATCCAATGTTTCCTGTTTTTCCTAAATCAAACAAATCTACCATCAGTTAGTCAAACACTATCCATCTCAAAGCTGATCTTTTAAAATCTAACACTGCTTATCAGCAAGCAGTCATTTATCACAGCCACTTGCGATAAAAAACTTTGTTGTTGTTCAGTTGCCAAGTCGTATCTGACTCTTTGTGACCCCATGACTGCAGCTCGCCAGGCCTCCCAGTTCATCACCGTCTCTCAGAGTTTGCCTAAGTTTATGCCCATTGAATCGGTGAAGTCATCCAACCATCTCATCATCTGTCGCCCTCTTCTTTCCTTACTGTGTTGCCTACATTTGTAACTTGTGATACGCTACTCCAATTAAGTGCATGGAACACTGTTTCATGACATAAAACCACGACCCAAAGATTCAAATGCTTCTTCTATGAAGTCAACAATAAGCAGCTCTTAAGTTGCTAGTATTAAGTTCACAGCTACCTAGATCTTTCCCAATTTTAATTTTTCTACTGAATAATAATAAATAAAACCCTACAAATTGTTTCTCCAATAGAAAGTAAAACATGAGAGTAGGAAGGGTATTTTGCTCCTGAGGCAAAAAGAAAGGAGGACAGAGGAAAGCAGCAAAGACACGGAGGAGGATGGGACAGAGAAGCCCAAGGGAAGAGAGAAGCAAGCTCATAATCCTTGCTCCAAGCAAGGGGACAGCTTCTAAAATCATGTTGGAATGCACGGCGTTCTAAGCAGTGGTTTCAGTAGAGACAAATACATAAGGCACAGGAGTTTAAGACTTGAAAGGCAAACAGTTAACAAATGAAGTAACCTTTCACTTTTGATTACTAAAATAGTATTCTAAAAATAGTTACGAACACATGCAGTCAGCTGACAGAACTGTTTCAAAACGTGTCAGAATACATCTAAGACAAAAGTACTCAAAACAAAATACTAATTCCAAACGCATGCCATATTAAAGGGTTCTTTATGAAATTTTCTGAAATAAAATGTTTATAAAAAGTCACACTTCTATCCCTTGGTTATGAACACTTTCTATTCTACTGTATTATTGATAAATAGAATCTTAAGTGGAAAGTACATTTTTAAATGTTTTCAGTGACCCTTATCTTAGAAATTCAGTGGACCGAGACTAGCTGTGAGGAACAAAAAGTACTGTTGTCTGGCTCTCCAAATAGTATCTCTAATATTTCTGCATAAGAACCAAGACCATTAGATTCCTCTGGTATTAAAAATCAAGGCAAATGTGATGAGGAAACTCCAAGAACCAAAGAATTCAAAAATCTTTCAAAGTTAATTGTTATAACTATATACAGTGTGACCTGAATGGAAATATGGTAACAGGTTCTCCTTTGCAGAGAAGTAAAATATGATAGTAACAGTAAAAAGTTACAAGAATAAGAGACAATGAATAAAGAATTAATTATAGTCCTGAAAAACTGTTTTTTAAGTATAATTTTTCTACCTTGCTTTTCTAACAGAAGATACACTAAGTTTCAAATTTTGTCCTACAGTGCAGCCTCTCACCAAGAAAGTGCCCCCTCAAAAGCAGTTCCCAGTATTCTTTCTGATTCCTTAAAACTGGAACAATCATCACCAGTTTTAAACAGAGGCCGCATCGACAGAGCTGCACGTCACAGTGTGTGCTCCTTCAGTGAAGCATACAGCCCGATATGTGAGGACTTCAAGCCACTAGGCCAATATAGCTCATCTTCTTGGAGCATCAACTTTAGTCAAGAGATACTAGGGAAGAAATTTTTACTTATAGAAACATGACTTAATAAGCCTAATAAAGATATGAATGTTTAAGATAAAATGTAAAAATTCTAAGAAATTTCTCATACCATACCTCTCAGGAAACCTCTTTCGGGAAAGGGTAGGAGGTATTAAGTGGACAGTCTGAGATGCACAGAACAGGAAGAATACTGGTTCGGAAACTAAAAGACCTACATCTTACAGAATTAAAAACAGAAAAAAAAGAAAGTGTTGGACTAGTGATAAGAAAACAGGAAGGGCTAATTAATGAGGCAGGAAACTCTGACTTGCATGGAAGCAAGAAAAGAGAAAACATTTCCAGAAGACTTTAACCACATGCAGGGAGCATTCTGGAAAAGTAAGGGACATCTTTGATTATCACAATTAGTAGGGAGGACTCATTGAAACTTGAGTGATTAAAAGCCAGGTATACCAGATATCTGGCAATTCACGGACCAGCCAAGCTCAACAAAAAATTATTATTGCAAGACTTTCTAATATCTCAATACATGGTCATAGATTAAAACTTTTTGAACATAAAAGATAACTGTTATAACATTAACTATTTTTCACAGTTTTTAATAGACATCGAACCTCTAGGAATACAACTAACATATAAATTGAAGGAAGGCTGTACTTTTGTTTTGCTGAAAATTTTACCTAGGGTTATTCATGATTTCTAAAGAAAAAATTACAGCATAATGGCAATTCTGCTGCCACATCTGATTTGCCAAAACTAAATCCTTGAGCATATATAGGTTTGCATATAAATATGTAACTAATAATGATGATTATTTTAAGTCTTAGAACCAAATATCATTGGCAATTAGTGATACACAAAAAATGAGGATGTCACAGAACTTTATTAATAATTTTGTTGTTGAACTATTTCATGTTTTTTGGACTGTCATCCTTTTTGGGTAGGGCACAAAAAGCTATTCATGTTCTAAAAATTACACACTGACATTATTTATGCTGGCAAAAGTCAACTGCACAAATTTTATATGACTTCATATACTAATGTGTCTTTTCCTAATTCATCCTTTGCCTCTATTTCTTTCACAGGTAATAATGTTCAAAAATAATGTTTGGAAATACTAGTAACTATCCCACATAATTACATAAAGAATTACTGTGACACTATGTTATAAACAGGGGCTTCACTGGGGGTTCAGACCGTGAAGAATGTTCCTGCAATGTGAGAGATTGGAGTTTGATCCCTGGATTGAAAAGATCCCCTGGAGAAGGGAATGGCTACCCACTCTGGTATTCCTCCCTGGAGAATTCTGTGGACAGAGGAGCTGGTAGGCTATTCTATGGGGTCACAAAGAGTTGGACATGACTGAGCAACTAACACTCTCATTTCTTCACTATGTTATAAGGTCAGCTCACCTGCAAGAGTATCTTACTTCCTTTTTTCCCAGTCAGTAGTCTAAAGTTATTTCTCTCTCATCAGATGTATGACCTGTTATTTTGTATCCTAGTACTAGATTTTATTTTAATGTTCACTAAAAATACTGCTCTTACGTTTTCTTGTACTTCTGATACAGAATGTGTTTTGACCTTTTTTACTTATAAATTCAAACTTACTCATTATAAAGATGTAAAATCTGAATACCATACTGTTTTACAGTGTAATAGTGCATGCATGTTTGAAATACAGATTGCTTCAAATAAACTTTGTTGTTGTTCAGTTACTAAGCTGTGTCTGACTCTTTGCAACCCATGGACTGTAGCACATTGGCTCCTCTGTCCTCCACCATCTCCCAGAGTTTGCTCAAATGCATGTCCATTGAGTCAGTGATGTTATTCAACCATCTCATCCTCTGCCATCCTCTTCCTTTGCCTTCAATCTTTCCCACCATCAGGGTCTTTTCCAATGAGTCGGCTCTTTGCATCAGGCAGCCAGAGTACTGGAGCTTCAGCTTCAGCATCAGACCTTCCAAAGAATATTCAGGACTGATTCCCTTAGGATTGACTGGGGTGATCTTTGCTGTCCAAGGGATTCTCAAGAGTCTTCTCCAGCACCACAATTCAAAAGCACCAATTTTTGACACGCAGCCTTCTTTATGTTTCAACTCTCATATCTGTACATAAGTACTGGAAAAATCATACCTTTGACTAGATGGATCTTTTTCGGCAAAGTAATGTCTCTGCTTCTTAATATGCTGTCTAGGTTTGTTATAGCTTTCTTTCCAAGGAGCAAGTGTCTTTTAATTTCACGGCTGCAGTCACCATCTGCAGTGATTTTGGAGTCCAAAAAAAATAAAGTCTGTCATTGCTTCCACTTTTTTCCCATTTAACTGAGATATCTTTTCCTTTATTTCTTTTCCCATTATTTCTTTTTTGGTTAAAACATTATTTATATTTTTGAGTGTAGAAAGGTCATATTATTTATGAATTTCACTTTGGAATAGTTATCTATAGACTACAATAGGAGTTGCTGAGTCTGTCTGAGTTAAGAGTCATGGCTTTAAACCAAGTAAATATTTCAGTAAAGAATCGATGTCTCTTCAAAACACCAAGAACAGTTAAGATGAAACTTTTAAGGAAGGTTTCCATAACAGCAGGGATGATGAGAAGTTAAGGAAATAACTTGGTAATTAGTATCAAGATGAATGGGAAGAACTACAAACAATAACTAACAGTAACAGTTATAAGCTTTAACAAAATTTCCAGGAAAACCGTGGCACTGATGAAAAGGAAAGCCACAGGTATTCATGAATAACCATATAATACTTGAAAAATAGAAAAAGTGGCTGCCTCTGCAAAGTAACACCTGTCAGGACAGGAAGTATGACACTTGGTTATAAAGAAGCAAGTCAAAGAACTATTGAAAAAGGAGAAATTACTGAAGGAATTGCTTTCTCTCCCACATGATTTACCAAACACTTTCAGAGGCAGTCAAAAAATCAGTCAGGAAAATTTCAGAAAGATAACTGATTTGAACACAGTTTAAAGGTTCCTAAAATCTATGAAATGGTGATTCTAATCAAAAGTTCAATGAGCTCATATTTTACGGTCTAGTCAAGCCAGTCTGTGCCATGCTTCCTCCAGCAGAAATAAAACTAAAAAGTAATCCTTCATGTTAAATTTTGGGTTTTCATAATGAATATTAGTAAAAACATATTTGGACATTTTACCATTTAGATTTATGACAGGTTTTGCCATTTTTATCACTGAAATGGGTTTCTTTGTTTTAACATATGGAGTCTTCAGGAAATAAATGCCTTCTGACCATTATATTTGTGACCACTGTCCAAAAAGAGTTAGGGCCTAAGTTCACAATTACCTATATTTATTTATTTACTCTTTTCATTAAATCATTTCACTATTTACCTATGACCTGAATATCTTTTAAAGTCTGCCATTTGCCGTGATTTTCGAAATAAATTCACTTAAGACTGCTGACTTAAATGAAGTCTGATTATTAAATGAACTGACCTGGGTAGGCATGTAAACATGTCTAGGACTGAGAGAAAATAGACAGAAGTAAATGTTTAAAGATTTAATTTATAAAAGAGAGAAAGGAAAAATAATATAGGCATATAAAATGATGTTCTTCAGGAAATGAGTACATCTATATATGACAAACTACTCTAGATAATAAAAGGAAATTGCTATTAAAAGTTGAAGATAAGATTTCCTAAAAATAAACCTCAATTACAAATTCAAGTCAAACATGCAAAGATTAAGAAATTTAAGGAGTAGATCACAACTGGACAAATTGTTAACAGGAAAAAATGACACTGTGCAGTCAAGTCTGAAATCACTATTATTCAAAAAAGGACAGATGATCACACTGTACTCTGTAAAGGTTCCAAATAAAGTATAAAACGTACCAAAATGAGAGATCTGGAAGAGTCAGGATGTATGCACAAGAAGCCATAAACACCCAGAGATTTATAATCTTGGAATGTCTAAACATTACTAGGAAATTATATAAACCAAAGAGCGCATTTGACCATGCTCTTTCATTCACTGAAACTGATGCTTCTTTAACTGTAAATGTGTGCGCTCTGGGATGTGGGTCCCCCTGGAATAGGCAAAGCTCTTCTTTTTGAAGCATTCATTTTAGCTGAAGAATTAAAACACACGTGGGTATACTATGAAGAATGCCAAATGTGCATTACTTTTAGTGACAAAATACTAGATTTCAAACAAAAAAGTCTCATTTTCTTTGGCCAGTATGCTGATGTTAGCTGTTAAGAGATACAGTGGTGGGAAATTCTTAACTGCAGTTTCAGATATAATTTCAGTTCAGTTGCTCAGTAGTGTCCAACTCTTTGCAATCCCATGGACTACAGCACGCCAGGCCTCTCTGTGTATCACAAACTCCCGGAGCTTATTCAAACTCAAGTCCATTGAGTCAGTGATGCCACCCAACCATTTGATCCTGTCGTCCCCTTCTCCTCCTGCCTTCAATCTTTCCCAGCATCAGGGTACTCTTCAATGAATCAGTTCTCCACGTGACGAGGCCAAAGTATTGGAGTTTCAGCTTCAGCATCAATGAATATTCAGGACTGATTTCCTTTAGGATGGACTGGCTGGATCTCCTTGCAGTCCAATAGACTCTGAAGAGTCTTCTCCAAAACCACGGTTCAAAAGCATCAATTCTTCGGCACTCAGCTTTCTTTATAGTCCAACTCTTACACCCATACATGACTACTGGAAAAATCACTGCTTTGACTAGATGGACCTTTGTTGGCAAAGTAATGTCTCTGCTTTTTAATATGCTGTCTAGGTTTGTCATAGCTTTTCTTCCAAGGAGCGTCTTTTAATTTCAAGAGGGCAATAAATTGTTTTAGGAGTGAGGTTACATAGAAATGAGCACATTAAAATGTGTATTTGCTTGCTTATCTCAAGTAATCCAACATTTCTCAACTAAGATCAAGCTCCAAAAGTGCTCTCCCAAAAGTACTTTAAATGGAAATACTTACTTAGGAAACCAATTTAATCCCAGGTGTTCTGTCTTGGAATATAATATTCTTTCCACCATGTCATAAAGTGGTCGCCAAGGTAACTCCAAATCATCTCTTGAAAGAAGTTCCTTTTTCCTAATTAAAGAAAGAGTGTTCACATTACACACACTATACAGGGAAGGCAGCTGTTAAATGCTGCTGTCATCACAGTGGGTTTTGCCTTCCCCCATCCTCAGCCACTCACTGGGAAAACATGACAGTAGGAAGAATATGCACAGGACTTCTGCTGCTGCTCAAACCTCAAAGGGCACCACGTAAAAAGAGGCATTACACAGTCACTATGGAGAACAGTGTGGAGATTCCTTAAAAACCTGGAAATAGAACTGCCATATGACCCACCAATCCCACTGCTGGGCATACACACCGAGGAAACCAGAATTGAAAGAGACACGGGTACCCCAATGTTCATCGCAGCACTGTTTACAACAGCTAGGACATGGAAGCAACCTAGATATCCACTGGCAGACGAGTGGATAAGAAAGTTGTGGTATATATACACAATGGAATATTACTCAGCCATAAAAAGAATGCATTTGAGTCAGTTCTAATGAGGTGGATGAAACTGGAGCCTATTATACAGAGTGAAGTAAGTCAGAAAGAAAAACACCAATGCAGTATATTAATGCATATATAAGGAATTTAGGAAGATGTTATGGTAATGATGACCCTATATGTGAGACAGCGAAAGAGACACAGATATAAAGAACAGACTTTTGGAATCTGTGGCAGACAGCGAGGGTGGGGTGATTTGAGATAATAGCACTGAAATGTATATTATCATATGTGAAATAGATGACCAGTCCAAGTTTGATGCATGAAACAGGGCACTCAAAGTCGGTGCACTGGGACAGCCCTGAAGGGTGGGATGGGGAGGGAGGGAGGAAGGGGGTTCAGGATAGGGGACCTGAACCCTACAAGGACATGAACACCCATGGCTGATTCATGTCAATGTATAGCAAAAACCACTACAATACTGTATTGTAATTGGCCTCCAATTAAAATTAATTAATTAAAGAAAAAAAGAGGCATTACAATTTGTGCCGCCATTATTGTAGATGAGTTTCATACTTTCCCGTACTATCTATGGAGTACTCCCTGTTTCTGGAATTATGCTGGGTGTCCAGGATAAGGAAAAGAATAAATGATCCCTGTCTTCCCAAGGATCTTACAACTTACATAAGGGAAGATAATTAGTATAAATTAAACAATCAGTGTGTGCTAGAGAAGAGAAGGCTTCATGGAGGAAAAAGAATTTTAATTAAAAGGTTAATTAACACAAGTAGTTTAAACATATGATAAAGTCTTCTGCAATCTTTCTCCAAAATGGTAACCTGGTACTTGGTCTTACCAAAGAACACTTGGCTCTCCTCATTCCCTAAAATCTTGAAGAAACAAAAAAATCTTACCAGAAATTACAACAAATGGACTTACTTTAACAAGTTAATCAAGAGACGGGCAAATCCCTGCATCATGCTGATTTCCAGTTTTGGAATTGATACCAGCTCATATAATAACTTGATAAAAAGAACATGATCTTCTTTGCTAAATTTTCTCCCATAAAGTCGAATATATCTGCAAGAGAAAAATTGATACAGACTTTAAAAATAGATATGGTGACATATTTTTGTTCATTGAGGCATTAGTCACATGCCTAAGGTGCAGAAGTAATGTAAATGTCCATCAACAGATGGATAAAGAAAATATGGTGTGTGTGTGTATGTACACACACATATATATGTGTGTAGGAATATTATTCAGCCTTTAAGAAGGCCATCATATGCTAAAACATAGATGGACCTTGAGGATATTATGCTAAGTGAAATAAGACAATAAAAAAAGTCAAATAGTGGATGATTATCACTTATATGTAATATCTAAAATAATCAAACTCACAGAAACAGCATGGTTGTTGCCAGGGGCTGGGAAGGCAGAGACAGGGAGACAACAGGGTTTCAGTCATACAAGATGAAAAAGTCCTAGAGATCTGTGGCATAACAATGTACACACACTTAACAATACCACATGGTACACTTAAAAATTGTTAAGAGGGAGCTTGCTACAATTAAAAAAACATGTATTACTACACTTTAATTTCAAATGTCTTTGATGTTATTTTGTATCCACTCATCATTGTGCAGGGAAGATTTACTCTGGATTTTAATTGAGAGATTACCAAATAAGTATTTTATTGACAAAAAAACCTCTAATGGTAACTGAATTTTCATCAACCTTTAATGACCTGCAATCCCATTCCTGGGCATGTATCCAGAGAAAAACATGATCTGAAAGGATACACGCACTCCAATGTTCATTGCAGCACTGTTTATAACAGCCAAGACAAGGAAGCAACTTAAATGTTCATCAACAGAGGAATGGATAAAGAAGATGTGACACATATATACAATGGAATATTACTCAGCCATTAAAAATGATGAAGTAATGCTACTGCAGCAACATGGCTGGACCTAAAGAGTGTCCTATGAGTGAAGTAAGTCAAATAGAAGAGAAATAGCATATGACATCTCTTATGTGTGGGGTTTTTTAAAAAAATTGATACAAATGAACTTACTTACAAAACAGAAAGAGACTCACAGACTTTAAAAATGAACTTATGGTTGTGGAGAGGGGGAGGGACAGTCAGGGCCTTTGGGAAGGTCATGAACACACAGCTATATTCAAAATGGATAACCAAAGGACCTGCTGTATGGGCACCTGGAACTGTGCTCAATGTTATGTGCCAGTCTGGATGGGAGTGGGGTTTGGGGGAGAATGGGTATATGTATATGTATGGCTGAGTCCCTCTGCTATTCACGTGAAACAACCAAAACATTGTTGATAGGCTATACCCCAATACAAAATAAAAAGTTCAAAGTTTGGGAAAAAAGAAAAGTTGTTACAAAAAAAAAAAAAATTCTAATGACCAGTTATAACACTGCTGTTTTATTGTTGTGTGGTCTTAATGGGCTTTTTGTCACAATAACCTGAAAAGAATCCCTCTGGACCTTTCCCTTATTAAACAGTGCTCATTCAAGATAACCACCTATTTAAGGACTTACTGAAACTACTTTAAAACACCATATCAAAACACAATAAAACAGAACAAAAGAGTACAGACATAAAAGTTTACTGTTTTAACCACAAGAATCTTTGATGCATGCTTACTAAGAATCCTGAAACAATACAGCAAGTTATCTAACTTGTACTATTTGTTTCTAGACTCATAACTATAATAAAATTTAATTGCTACAAACAAGTATAGCTTTTAACCTCAAAATTGTACGTTTTCTTTTTTTTTTTTAACTTTAGAGACTCAGTGTAATCAAAAGGGTCAACTATAAGCAAACTGAAGGAAAAGGCGTCCCAAAAAGCAAAAATGACCATGGCATAGTTAAGGATTAACTACTTAGAAACCAAACTTAAAATTTAGAACAAATTACTGGATGCTTAAAATCATAAATTCCTTTGAGGAAGACCATTCTACAGACAAATACACAAATCACAGAAAAGAGCATTAATATTCCTTATATGATCTTTAGCACTTTCCCATTAACTATGATCAAATTAAACTCAGGTTTAACTTCTAAAATGAGAATAATTGTTTTTCTTTTTCTAGAAAATCCTCAAAATTCTTGGTTCAATAAAAGCACTCTTTATTTTCTCAGGCTGCTGCATATTTATTCAGCTCTTGTCTGTCCATCCAAGGTATAATCCCATGATTTCACCTTAGTACTAGGCAACTAATCAGTATAGGGTGAGCAGCAATGAGCCCAGAGACATTGTTTTACCCTTCAGTGAATGCTTCTTAAGCACCTAGGCCAGGGAAAGTAACTGGGCTAATGAAGACAATACACAAAGACCCTAAGCCCAAGGCTGCCAGAGGTACTTCAAACTGCTGAAAAAGCATGATACAAACTTCTGAAGTCTCCTCCAATTTCACTCTAAATTGAGGAGTAAAAGCTAGAGTCATCGAAATGCTACTTTCAAACAAAAACAAACCACATCCATAAGAAACAGCATATATTTTAAAGATAAGACAGAAGTGTCCAAAGAAACATCTCTTGATTCCAGTGGCTACCTCAGGCCTTGTCAGGGCTCCAAGTGCCCCTGTGGTTAGGCACTTACTCTCCCCTGTGGCTAAGATATTTCTGTGGAAAAACTGGAGAAACACTGTTCTAAACCATTGAAATAACTTATCTACAAGCCCATCGCTTTTGCTGTAAAAATGAAGGACACAAAACTCATAAACTCCAAAATTCAATACTATGAAGAGACCAATAGGGGAATCCTTAGAGGAGCTAGAACTGCTGACAAAACCAAAAACCTTAGGGGGATTACTCAGACACTTATTTCTCCTGTTAATAGCAAATAGTTCTTCCCAACCAGAAAGTAATTCCTGTCTCAGCATTTCTCAAAACACAGCCCAAGAAGGCTACTTCTGAAAAGCACAGAAGTACTAAAGAAGAAGTTAATAACTGGTCTTCATTAAAATCAGGAACTTCTATTCACAATAAATTACCATGAAAAGTGAAAGCCCAATCAGATATTTGGAACACATATCTCTATCTGACAAAGCACTCACTCACACTGCGTCAGAACTCCTACAAGTCAATAAGAAATAGCACAAACAAACAAACAAAAAATGGGCGAAAGACTCAGGTAGGCACTTCTGGAAAGCCAACATCCAGATGACTAATGAGCATATGAAAAGGCACTCAACATCATAACTTGTCAGTAAATGCAAATTAAAACTACAATAGGGTACCACTCCATACCACCGCACTGGCTGAAATTAAAAAGCCCACAATACCCAGTTTTGGTGAGAATAGGGCAAAACCAGTTTTTACAGCCACTCTGGAAAAACTCCTTGACATCACCTCATAAATGTTCACCAGACATTAGACTGTTTTAAAACACACATTCCTGGGCTCTGTCTTAAAACTGTATGTGTTAATCACTCAGTTGTGTCCAACTCTTTGCAACCCCATGGAGCCTGCCAGGCTCCTCTGTCCATGGGATTCTCCAGGCAAGAATACCAAAGTGAGTTGCCATTCCCTTTCTCCAGGGAATCTTCCCAATTCAGGGACAGAACCCAAGTCTCCCGCACTGCAGGCAGATTCTTTACCATCTGAGCCACCAGGGAAACCCATCAAACGAGTCCATCAAAAATACTGGGAGTGGTAAATGCAATGAAGTTCCTTCTTTTTTCTTTCTTGAAAAAGGAAATTTTAAAAAATATTCAGAGTGGAGACTGAGAGTCTTTACTTAAAACTACACTAGTTGTTTATTCTTTATATTTATTCAAAAATTCTACTTTAGACTGTAGACTTTGGCCACCTGATGTGAAGAGCTGACTCATTTGAAAAGACCCTGATGCTGGGAAAGATTGAGGGCAGGAGGAGAAGGGGACGACAGAGGATGAGATGGTTGGATAGCATCACCGACTTGATGGACATGAGTTTGGATGGACTCCGGGAGTTGGTGATGAACAGGGAGGCCTGGCATGCTGCGGTTCACAGGGTCACAAAGAGTCGGACACGACTGAGCTCCTGAACTGAACTAAGAGACAGTCCATTCCCTTTTCCCAAATACTTTGCACATTAAATTTTAGGACTAAAAATTTCTATTAAAATACTTCAAATCCAACAGTCATGACTGAACTTTCAAATAGGATATTTTCTTAAACTATCTAGGATATATAGATGACAAGTCATTAGGTTCCATCCTCCCACAGGAGGAAAAAACAGTAAAATACAGAAGTACTTTTCAACTGCTTCCTCTTCACAACCTTATTGTGTTATTAAGCAAAACGCTTTACTTTTTAATCTCAAGTAAAGTCAGTGGCATACCAGGAACAGTCATTATATAATCAAATGTACAATGCTGTCACAGCTTTTTCTACTATACATCCTGAATATAAGTTTACTATATATTTCTAGAAAATTTAAGTAAAGTATAAAATTATACAGTACTACTGAAATGAACTAAGAATTAGAGATTAACTAGAGGCTAAAAATAATTGGTTTTCAATACAGGCTTTGTCATTCATCATTCATCATTTTTCTTCAAGGCAATCACTGGGTTTCTAAGGTTCTAAATATATCCACAAATAAAAGTAAAATTAACATCATTTCAAAGCAACATTAAGACTGTGTTATTATAAAACATATAAGACATTTGGCAAAGAAATTTAATCTTAAGTAAGTGCTTTACTTTGGGTAGTCCTACTTATAAGACAAAAAATGAAACTTTAACTTGAAATTTTAAAAGCCAGAATTTAAATACTGTCATTGAAAGTACTTAAAAGCATTTGTGGATGATTAAAACAAAAAAAATCACATCCAGCAATACACCCTAAATAAAAATTCAGAATATCAAAGTCAAAATACCGAAAATCTTTTCAATGCACATTTGCAATAATAAATATTTCCTGGAAGAAACCCTAAAAGTCTGATAAAGGAATGATTTGTTAAATTGTGGTTTATGCCTTTAGACTACAGTCCAGTCATTTAAAATTGTTTTCAAAGAATTTTATGGATGTCAAAAGTAATATCATATAAAATATGATACAAAAA